GATGTCATCCAGTCTTTGGCGGATCAGTCTTTGAGCAGTGATTTGATCTAGTTTTAGGGAATCTAAGGGAGAGATTCCATAGCTCAGGAGTTTGGCATGAATTCTACTGGTCCAAAGGCTGGGAATTCATCTCGCCATAAGCATTGGGCAAGGTAATGGTCTGGTAATCTATGCCACAATGATAACCAATAATTGAAGACTTGCTTCCACAGGCAGGTTTCTAAGGATGCGATCCTCAATTCTAAACGCATGGCTGCGTTGCTTACGCACAGGGGAGCATTAGGAGCCGACGTAGGAATTGGTTTTGCAAAGTCTCAAGAGGAGCAAGGTCTGTCATCACGACCCAGAGCGGGGCAGCATAAGCAAGCACGGGAACCACTTTTGCCTTGAACACCTTTAGGGCCGGGGAACATGCAAAGCTCCATCCGAAAAGAAAAATCGGAGGAGCGCATATGACAGAGTTTTGGCCTTATTAAGTAGGTGTTGAATATGTGCTTTCCACCCCAAATTGTATTGAAAAATAACTCCTAGGTATTGAAATTTTAGGACTTGCTCTATTTTTGCTCCACCAAGCTTCCATTCGTATAATCTCCGACTTCTGGCGAAAATCAGAATCTTAGATTTAGCATGATTGATGGTTAATTGGTTGAGTTGACAATACGTGGCAAAGATCTTCAGAGCTCTGGTTAGTCCAACACGTGTATAAGATAGAATTACCGCGTCGTCCGCATATAAAAGGAGTGGACAGCGGTAATCCGCTAGTCTAGGCGCATGTGTACTTGGAGATGAGTTGACTAGGGGTGCTCGCATGTCGCTGATGAATAGATTGAATAGGCAGGGGGCCAATATACATCCTTGGCGCACTCCCTTGTTTATTGGTATCGAATTTGTGAGGTCGCCCGCAGGAGTAAGTCTCACTCTGGCAAGGGTACCTTCGTGGAGCTGACTTATAAGCCATAAGAGCCTTCTATCGATGCCCTGTTTCGCAAGTTTCTCCCAAAGAATATTTCTAGGAACGCTGTCGAAGGCTGCCTTAAGATCTAAGAAGGCAGCACACAGATAGCCCGGGGAGGGAGGAGTACTTCCGTGCCAGATGGTAAAGAACTATCGCATGATCAGTTGTAGAGCGTTTAATTCTGAACCCTGCTTGTTCGTGGCCAATCTGGTTAGTCTCATCTACCCATCGCGATAGTTTCGTCAGCAAAAAGCTGGCATAAATTTTCCCTATGATCGAAAGGAGGCTGATGTTACGGTAATTTTCCGGCTCCATTGGAGAACCCTTTTTATGAATTGGTACTATAATGGCCTCCTTCCATATTTTGGGGATGATACCAGAAGCGTTGATTGCGTCGAAGGTTTTGGCCAAGATGCCAGCCCACCATTTTGGGTGTAGTTTGATGGCTTCAGCAGGGATCAGGTCGGGCCCTGGGGCTTTGCCCAATTTCAGCTGGGCTATTGGCTTGGCTATTTCGTCAGGATCGGTGGGAGGCCAAATAGGTAGGTGGGAGAACAGATGCATCAGATGGTCGGAGGAGCATCTGCCTGTGAGAACAATTTCGTCAGGAACAATTCCCATGTCGGTGCAGGGATGACTGCCCTTGGGTATTTCCTCACCCTTCTGTTAATCAGAGACCAGAATTCCCTGGATCTATGTGATTTTGAAGCAGTAATCAAGGCCTGCCAGCGATTATGTTGCCACTCACGTTTGGCAATTTTCTGCGTGCGTTTATAAACTTGCTTGGCTTGTGCATAACTAGCTGGCAGAGTAGATGCATCGGAGGTCTTATATACATTATATATAGCACGAAGGCGCTGTCTTGCTTGTTTGCACTGAGAGTTATACCAGGGGGCACCGTAAGTATACTCGTTTCGATTTAATATTTTGGGTGGTAACCTGAAGAAGGACGTAAGGTCCGTCGTATGATGGTGGAAGCGTTTCAACACTATGCTATGCTCATCTGAGGCAGAGCCTATGTAGGGATGGGGCCCGAGGATTTCTTTTGAAAGAATTCCTGATACCTTTGAGCCTGGGTCTCCGACCATTTGATTCCTCTTACTTGAAGAGATACGTTGGTTACCATCTGGGTCGCATGTCTATAGGTCTCCAACTGCCAATTCAGGGAGAGCTTGGCTACAAGGGGAAGATGATCACTAGATTGTACATTCTCGATCTTAAAGGAGGAAATACACTTAAGTAGATCACTGGAGACCAGCAGGTAATCGAGGACGCTGTTTGATTTAACACTCAGGTGAGTGAAATCCCCTGGAATATCAGGGGGCATGTGCCATTTAGGGGGACCAGATTTAAACGGATGGCCATTTGGTAGAGGAATACTCCAGCCTCATTAACTCGTTGGTCTTTAGAAGTTCTCCTCATGATATGTTCCAGATCATAATTATCAAGGTTTGGGGTAACCCACCATTTGGCTTTGGTCAGCGAGTCCCAATTTTTTGAATAAAATAACTATTGATGGGTGAGTCATGTGACCTGCACCTTGCTCTCACCTCCCCCTCCCAAAAAAGTGCTTTTCCCAGGGCAAGAGCACAGCACCCAAAAGGACTGCTGAGTTCTGGTGTGAAAAAGTGGGGTGCCCCTTTTTTCTGGGGCACTTGGGAGATATAAGCAGAGCCACCTCTATGGAGGGGCAAAAATGGATGGAGGTAGAGTAATACTCCTTGTTCTGTTTTCACAGCTGCCTCTATAGCATATCCACACTGCAAGATTAGCTCAGTTCTTCGTCTCAGCCTTTCACTCCCCGATGGGGTTGGCAGCAGCTGAGAGAAGGAGCAGGACCATGCCTTGTTCTGCTACTGTTTATTTGGTTGGTTTTGCAGCCTCTACTGTCTCCGACAAGCTGCTTGTTCCCTCTGGTTCCTTTCCTCAATCCAAGCGCACGAGGTGCCAAGGGTTAAAGCGCATTGGCCGTCGGCAGATGGTGGGAGCAAAGGCAAATCAATCCAGACTTGCGGGAGGAGGAAGTGGGGCCCCTCCCTTGTGGGCACTTTGGGAGGGTTTTTTTTCAGGCCTCGCCAAGTCCGCACCCTCCTTGGCAGCAGCAGCAGCAGCAGCAGCAGCAGCCCACACCAAACTTGAGATTTGGGTTTAACTGGAATAGCACCACAGAGGTTCTGTTTGCATCCCGCCCCCCTTCTCCCTTTGAACAACAGCAGCAAAAAAACCCCCTCTGCTCCCGAAAGAGCTTCTAAAATGGACTAGGGTGGTAGAAGCAGAGTGAAATCCTTAGCAGTCTCCCCTCGCTTTGCCTTCCTCCCAGTGACAGTAAGGAAACAGCCTGGGGACCTCACAGAGAAATGTCAAGGCAACAAACAACTATTTTACTTTTAAAAGGCAACTGAAGGCAGTCCTGTTTAGGGAAGTTTTTAATGTTTGATGCTGTATTGTTTTTAATATTTGGTTGGAAGCCGCCCAGAGTGGGTGGGGTATGAATAAATTATTATTATTATTATTATTATTATTATTATTATTTATTTTGCATGCAGAAGGTTCCAGGTTCAATCCCCAGGCAGGGCTGGGAACACCATGGCATGGAAAGTTTTCCTTCTCTCCTTCTCGTGGGCATCCAATGAAGCTGAATCTTGGAAGATTCGTGGCAGATAAAAGAAAATACTTCTTCATAGTTAAACTACAGAACTCCCTTCCACAGGAAGCAGTGATGGCCACCAACTTGGATGGCTTTAAAAGAGGATTAGACAACGTCATGGAGGGAAGGCTATCAATAGGTGCTAAGCATGATGACTAAGCTTCAACAGTTTGAAGGCAGCAATGATTCTGAGTCCCAGTTGCTGGAAACCACAGGAGGGGAGATTGTGACATATTGCTTTTCGATGTTGTGAACTGCCCTGAGATCTGCTGATAAAATAAATAAATGCATATAATTGTGCTCAAGTCTTGTTTAAGGGTTTCCCACGGTGGGTCGGCCACCGTGTGAACAGGATGCTGGGCTAGCAGCGGCGTAGCGTGGGTTGTCAGCACCCGGGGCAAGGCAAGTAATTTGCGCCCCTAATCCAGGGCAAGGCAAGTAATTTGCGCCCCCTAACCCGGGGCAAGGCAAGTAATTTGTGCCCCCTAACCCGGGGCAAGGCAAGTAATTTGCGCCCCCTAACCCGGGGCAAGGCAAGTAATTTGCGCCCCCTAACCCCTAACCTGCCGCCGCTGCCAGCTTCTTCTTGCTGCTGCCTGGTCTGGTCTGGTGTGGTTCTCTCCCGTGCTCAGCGCTGCGCTGGGCAGCCGCTGCACTGTCCCTCCCCCAGATAGTCCCTCGCTCTCTCTCCGCACGCCTGGCACCCACCCCCTCCACAGTGGGCGGCGACCCAGAGGCTCGGATCGGATTTGCACAGCCAGCACTGCAGTGAGAGAGAGTGAGTGAGCCAGGTAGGGGCAGAGAGCTGCGAGTGTGAGCGTGCCCCCCCCCAGATGTTGCGCCCGGTGCGGCCGGCCCCCCCTGCACCCCCCACGCTACGCCACTGTGGGCTAGTGTTGGGGACTGGACTGAGGAGGAATGGTGGAGACTGCCCCCCCTGCATTTCCCAGAGAAGAGGGAGACAGTATAGATTTGGTTCAGAGGCTGCAGAGGGTAGAAGCTGGGAAATATTGGGAGAGGAGCAGGAAGAAGAAGAAGAAGAAGCACAAGCACCTGGGGAGAGACAGCTGACAGACTCAGTGTCTTTGGAAAGCATGCCAGACTCGCCCTCCCAGCTCCTGGAGAGCATTGAGAGTAGGAGAACAGAAAGCTCAGAGGCAGAAAGCACAGATCAGCCGGCGCAGGGATGATGTATGACAGGAGAGACGGAGGGGGTGGGACTTCCCTTGGAGCAATGCCATTACTGCAGCGGAGAGGCACTTCTCAAAGCCTCTCTCTGTAAATATTGAATAAAGGGCTGGGTATCTGCTCCACCGTGGGAGGAATTGGATTCCATGAAGCCCATGAAGCTAGATGGGCCATTGGCTCTGTTGGCTCTTATGTTCAGATGTCACTGAGGGACCATGGCTCAGTTGTTGAGCATGTACCTTGGATGCCTAAGGTCCTAGGTTCACAATCCCTGGCATCTCCAGATAGGGTTGGGAATATCCTCTTGTCTGAAATGCTGGAGAGGTTCCGCCAGTCCAAGCACATCATACTGAGCTAGATGGACTCAACATCAGAGTGAGATGGCATCTTGTGTTCCCTCTTCTCTGTGCAGGAAAAGAAGCTCAGGCACGCTTGGGAGGGGAGGGGGAAGAGCAGGAGTTCACGTGGGACCAGGTGATGTGGGATGAGGCTCCTTCCAGGGTCTGCAGACACCGAAAGGCCTTTCCCCCAATTCATCTGCCTTCCCATTTGTATTTTATTTGAAGGGATGTTCCTTCTTGCAATCTGTTAGCCCTTATTCCAGCACATCCTGGTGCCATGGAACATAATGGATGTCCCTTATCTCAGACACCACAACCGCAGACTGTCCCCTGGTTGTTGTTTTTCAAATCGTATTCCTTGTCTCTGTGTGTGTGTTTTGCTTTTGTGTTTTCACGTCTCTCCCTGCCTAGAGTAAAGGGGCTTAAGCATCTGTCTCTGGCAGCCTTTTCAACTGCCACAGGAAATGCATGGAGGTCAAGGGCCAGCCAGCAGTCCCTCCTCTGGGATTTGGGGAAGGGGGGAGCCCTGCGCACATAACGCAGGGCCTTGTTTAACTCCGAAGGGGGGAGAGAGCCAGGCATTTCCTGTTTATGCGACTTACAGACCCCAAGAAGGGGGGTGGGGAGGGAGTGAGCTGGGATGGGTCTGAGTGGCTGCAGCTCAACCGAAAGCAATCTCAGCGGCCTGTTGTGGGTACACATGCATGTGTTTTGGCAGGGAGGCAGGCTGCCTCGCTGTCTCCGATGAAGGACTGCAGCTGAAAAGCCTCCTTGTGACGGAGGAGTGAGGGATCTGGCATACAACTGCATCCTAACCTCTCTTTGTCTGATGTAGTTTATTTCAAACGGTTCTCCAACTTGGCGACCTCCTGAATTTGCTGAGCTGCAATTTGGTTGCTCATTTTTCCAATCCACTTTTACTCCTTTCCGTAGCAATCTGCTGTTTGTTTGTTTTTTTAAAAAAAATCCTCATGGAAATCTTATCATGAATTTGTCCTCATATATAGGCATCCCCCTCCCCCAATTATGCACGTCCTACTCATGTGCAACCGCAATACACGTGGCGCTGGGAAATAAAGAAATCCTCACTCAGCCGTGAAGCTCACTGGGTTCCCATGGGTCAGTCACTGCCTCTCAGCCTAACCTACCTCACAAGGTTGTTGTGAGGATAAAAATCAGGAAGAGAATCATGTACGCCACCTTGAGGTGCTTGGAGGAAAGGTGGGAAATAAATGCAAAAAATAAATAAGTATTGACTTAATGTTCAGTGGAAACTACCAACATACCTCTAATTCTAGTTCTTTCCCATAACAATGAGGACTAGAAACTAAAACAAATGCCTAGATTCTCCAAATTCTATAGAAGCTACTCAGTGCCCTATAGGAGGCCACCCTTTCCTCCTCCTTGTGTGTAGCTGTGTACCTTCTTAGAACTCTGCTTTTTGCAAAAGCAGCTATTGATTTTACTTATTTATTCTGGAGGTTTATATATCCTGCCCTTCAACGAATTCCCAGGGTGGCTATTGTCCCAGAGGCTGTGGCACAGATTCTAGTGCTGCTGTGTGACTCAGTTTTTGATTTTTCAATGTGCAGATACTACAGTTTAATTAATCTTAAAGGTCGAGACCTGGGTCAGATTCTCCAGGGATGAATGTCCTTCTTCCTGGTACAGAAAAACTGGGTGTTTGTCTCTCAAGAGCTCTGGCACAAAATATTGTCGCAACAGGGCTCCCTCGAGCAAGTTGTGTCTATAGATTTTTCTTTGTTTATCTTGGTTTGAATGTGATCTTGTCTCTGTCCTTGGCTGCTGTAGGTATCTGGGGGAGCGGGAAGAGAAAATAAGTGTTGGCTTGGGACATCAAGCCCTGGAAAGAGTGGAGAATGTAGCAGTGGAGGATTTGAAAAGACAGTCAATAAATAGCACCAACTGAAGAAGGACGTCTCTGAGCTTGTCTGAATAACTGAGGCTGCTTGATTCTTCTAACTTGGGGAATGGGCAACCTGTGGCCCTACAGATGTTGAGAGACTAAAACTCTCATCAGCCTAAACCAGCACGGTCAGGGATTGTGGGAGTTCCAGTTCGGCTACATCTGGAGGGCCACAAATAGCCCATCCCTCTTAGAGCTTCTGAGCTTATAGCAGCTAAAATAAATCAAAATCATCACTTGGCAACACATAAATAGCTACTGAAAGTGCAAGGAAAGCGATTTCCACTTTTGACCCTGGTGTGCCTTGGGATTTTCTACTAATGGGAGGTTGACAGTAATCTAGACCCTCGAAAAACTAACACAAATGGTTTTGATGGACATTTTTCTACCCCAAACTAAATGCCAGTGTATCTCGACGCCCAACAAAACGATGCGTATTTTGTCAGGAGAAGGGCACCTAAGTATTGTCTGAAAAAGCTGTGTGACATTTTCATCCTAAATACGTTAATATCGGCTCACTTTTTTAAAAAAAAAAAATCTGTGGCAAAAATCAATAGGTTTCTCAGAGTATTTTTTTCCTCCCAGGCTCAAAAGCAAATTCCATTTCAAAGCATTTAAACCTGCAACACTGGATCAGGTTTGTTTGTTTTTAAATCGTTTACCCCAACAGGTTACAATGGCTGGGACAAAATAGCACCCAATGTGTAAAATTCAGCTGGTTTTCTTGGTTGGTTGGTTGGCTGGTTGTTGTTGCTGTTCTAGGCTTTTTTTTTAGAGAGAGAGAGAGAGAGAAAGAAAAGAGGAAATGGTAAACAGATCAAATTTGAGAGCATTGGCCTGGCTAGCACATAACACTGAACCATGGTTTGTTTGATTGTCCAAACACTGCCCAGTGGCTAAACTATGGTTTGTTTAACCACGGTTTGAAGCCGCGGCTTGTTGCTGGCTTACCAACCTTGGTTTCTTTTAATTACCATTTGGCATTGCACGTGGACCCAGCATCCTTCTTTAACCATGCTTGGTTTGCCCATTCCACCATAGGTGCTCTTCAGTCTGCAAAGATATGAAGAAAGAGCAGCTGGTGAATGAAACCAGTTTTGAAGAAACTGCCCATGGTTTGTTTGATCATCTGTGGGCTGGCTTGTGTCTTAATGTTATGCGCAAACCAGACTGCTGTTTATTACTGTGCAGGTGCCAACGCCCTGGAAGCCCTACTGCATGGTGGGTCTACTTCTGTGTAAATTCTGCAATGAAGTGCATGGGATGAGTAAAGGCACCCCAAGGCTTAGCTTATTTGCATGACTGATTGTATCTGTTGGCCTTTCGAAGTACCCAAAAGTAGCGTACAGAGTAAAATACAATAGTTAAAATTTAGCAGTGCAATAAAATTCAACAGTCAGTGAACTCCTCACCAAAATGCTCCCCAGCCTGAAATCACAGCATAACTAAAAACAGCAGTTCCTTTTTATCTCCATATGTAGAAACACACAAAGCTCCCACAGAAACCTCCATACATGAAAACAGAGGGACGGCCTTCTGATAATTAGCCATTTTCTCCTGCTGGTGAAAGTTGTTAAGGGAGAAAGGTGGTTTTGAGTTCCATTGTGTGTGCTGCGAAGAGCAAGAAAAATTGTAAGTGGGAGTCCTCAGGATGCTTACATGAGCCAGCTGTTTAACATTCATGCAGCAGAGAGAGACTCCGCTTGGAATAGCTTTGATTATGTGTACAAAAGAGTAATTAGAGCGCACGAAGAAGTAACTAACCTGTGTCGAATGGCTGCTCTAAAAAGGTCCTTCTGAAATGACAGCTGCCATCATAGTATCATAGAAATGTAGAGTTGGAAAATACGCCACGGGTCATCCAGTCCAACCCCCTGCAGTGAAGGAATCGTAGCTGAAGAATCCCTGACAGGTGGCCATCCAAGCTCTGTTTAAAAACCTCAAGTCAAGGAGAGTCCACCACATTCCTAGGTAGGCCATTCCACCATGAAACAGCTTACTGCCAGAAAGTTCTTGCATGGTGAGGCCCCAAGCCCCACCCCATTTCTTAGATAATGAAACACATGCACACCAATATTTTGGGTTAATGGGATAAATAAGGCCACAACTTTATTGGTTACAGATGTGAGTGGTATTGGCTTAGGCCAGGCATAGGCAAACTCGGCCCTCCAGATGTTTTTGGGACTACAACTCCCATCATCCCTAGCTAACAGGACCAGTGGTCAGGGATGATGGGAGTTGTAGTCCCAAAACATCTGGAGGGCCGACTTTGCCTGTGCCTGGCTTAGGCATTGGAACTGAACAGACTATATCTGACTCCTGCCCGTCATCCAGGTAGTCTCATAAGGGTCAACCACCAGTAGGGGGAGCCCTGTTGATGTACATCAATTGCAAGCTCCTCCAGGGTCACCAATGGGGTCATGGCATGGCCCTAGCCCATACCCAAGCTTCAGACAGGATCCACACCCTTGGATCCCTTTAATGGAATACCCTTAAAGAGGAGGGGCAGGTGAAGGCCACAACCTCCCCTCCCAGAAACCAGGTTTACCAATTCCTAGGTAGGCCATTTCACCATCAAACAGCTTACTGCTAGAAAGTTCTTCTCCTAATGTTGACTCAGAATCCCCTTTCTTGTCATTTGAATCCACTGGTTCGGGCCCCACCCCCTGGAGCAGCAGAAAACAAGCTTGCTCCGTTTTCCATGTGACAGCCCTTCAGATATTTTAAGATGGGCATTGTGTCACCTCTCAGTCTTCTTTTCTCCAGGATAAGCATGCAGGAACACATAACGAAAGGTAGCATTTTTTTGTGGTGTGCAAGTGCTTCAGCATCGCTTGAGGTTCCAGCCCAGTTCAGGGTTCACTTTAATTGAAACAACCTGATCATCTGTTCCATTCGCCCCTATTGTTCCATGCCACCCTAATCTCCAAGTGGTGAGAGACTCCTGGGATTCCAGCACTTACAGAGTTCAGTTTCCTTGGAATGAAAGTCAGCGGAGATTGTGGTGTCTTTAGGATACACGGTTTGATTTACACATACAGTCGTACCTTGGATCCCAAATGCCTTGCGAGTCAAACGTTTTGGCTCCCAAAAGCCGCAAACACAGAAGTGAGTGTTCCTGTTTGCGAACGTTCTTTGGAACCCAAATGTCTGGTGCAGGTTCCACGGCTTCCAATTGGCTGCAGGAGCTTCCTGCAGCCAATTGGAAGCAACACCTTGGTTTCTGAACGTTTTGGATGTCAAATGGACTTCTGGAACGGATTCCGTTCGACTTCTGAGGTATGACTGTATATACAACCTGAGCATAGGATGGAGAGGCTCGTGGCATTAACACTCCAACTCAGGCTTCCTCAGACTCAGCCCTCCAGATGTTTTGAGACTACATCATCCCTGACCACTGGTCCTGCTAGCTAGGGATCATGGGAGTTGTAGACCAAAAACATCTGGAAGGCCAAGTTTGAGGAAGCCTGCCCCAACTGATCTTGCTTTTCTGCTAGGTTTCTAGGGATGCCACAAACTCAGCTTTCACAGAGCAAGAGAAGATGTGTTCCACAGCAAGTATTCAGTATACAGCCAGCTTCCAAGCTGTGTGCTAACTTTGCAAAGTAATTCAATAACAGAAGGATTGGGTAGCAGATGTGATGGGCAAGTTCTCTGCCTGAGACCCTGGAGAGGGACCGCCACTCGGGGTAGACAGTACTGAAGTAGATACTGAGCAAATAATCTGACTTCATATCCAGGGACGGGCCATAGCTCAGTGGTAGAGAATCTGCCTTCCATGTGGAAGGTCCCTGGTTCAATCTGGCACAGTGGGTTAGTGCGTCTGGCTGCTAACCAGAAGGTTGGTGGTTTGAGCCCATTCAGGGACAGCTGTGGGCAGGATTCCTGCATTGCATAGGCTTGGACTAGATGAGCCTCAGGATCCCTTCCAACTCTACAATTCTATGACTCTATGAATTCGAACTCAGTTCCAAGTAAGGCCAGGAATGTCCCCTGTCTGAAACCCTGGAGGGCCATTGCCAGTCAGCCTAGATGGACATTACTGAGCTTTCTGGACCAGGGACCTGACTTGGTCAAACACAGTAGCTGTTTGATCTGCCTCCAGCATCCTCTAGCTCCACTGCTGTTTCCATGTGCTGCTATGTGGTACATTTCCTCGTAAGAACGTCCTTTATGGACATTTTGAAAAGGCCAGCACTCTGCATCCTTTCCAGTCTCCTCAAAAGCCCCTCTCCAGACAGACAGCAAGTGTGGCTGGATGCGTTTTGAGTTGCAGCTGTTCCACAATAAGCGCAGCCAGATCCAACGTGGAACAAAATAGTCTTAAATGCAAATGGTTATGATCAATTTCCAGATGGCAGCCGCGGTAGCCTATTACAGCAAAAGCAGCCAAGGGTCTTGCGGCACCTTAAAGACTAACAAATTTATGATGGCATAAGCATTTACGGACTTACAGTCTTCGACATCAGATGGCCAGTTTACTACTAACACATTCTGCTCCTGAAGCTCGCTTGGGATAGGCTGTTTCAGAGTAAATGAAAAATAAGAGGAGGAGAGAAATGGGAGAAAAGTCATTACCAACAGAAACAGATTTGTGCGCTCTCTCTCTCTCTCTCTCTCTGTGTGTGTGTGTGAGAGAGAGAGAGAGAGAGAGAGAGACAGACCAGCAGACAAGCAGGCAGACAGACAGAGACATGGCTTGGGCCCTGATTTTTGGTTTGAGGGTATGTTATGTACTGAGTTGAATAGGATCCAAAATGCAGCAGTCTGATTGGTCCTAGAACAATAGGATCCAAAATGCAGCAGTCTGATTGGTCCTAGAACAATAGGATTCGGAATGCAGCAGTTGGATTGGTCCTAGAACAATGCAGCAGTATGATTGGTCTGCAGGAGCCACCCAATCTGGCTCCAGATGGAAGTGAATCCACAACCTGATTGGCCTACAGGAGAATTCCAGAATTAGCCAATCACGTGCAGCCCATTGTGTAAATAATGTATATAAAGCAGATACTTTGAGGGGACTTTCATTCCCTCCTTACCACTATGAGCTGAATAAAGAGCATGAAATCCACTCTCGACTCTGAGTATATTTCAGGGTAGTATTACAAAAGTATCTCTGTTTTCACCTCTGCAGTGCCACGAGGAAGGGCCACAGCTCAGGCAAAGCATCTGCTTTGCTTGCAAAAGGTCCCAGGTTTGGTCACTGGCATCTCCACGTGGAGTCAGAAATGTCTCCTGCCTGAAGCCCTGGAGAGCTGCTGGCACTCAGTGTAGACACTGTTGAGCTGGGTGGGCCAGTGGCCTGATTCTGTATAAGACAGTGTCACGGACTGGGTGGATGAAGAGGAGTGGCGGGAACCCCCAAGGAAAGAAGGCTCAGAGCTAGGGGATCTGTGGTGGGATGACGATGGTGATGGGACAGTCTGGGAGGAGGAGGAAGAAGCTGAAGGGGCAACAGGATTTAGTGAGCAGCAAGAGGCTGGGGCAGAGAGCAGTCCAGACTCAGAGGCAGGAGAGGAGTGGGGCCAGGAGACAGAGAGGAGGCTGGCTGCTGAAGAGTCCAGGGCAGGCATAGGCAAACGGCCCTCCAGATGTTTTGGGACTACAACTCCGATCACCCCTAGTTAACAGGACCAGTGGTCAGGGACGAGGGGAGTTGTAGTCCCAAAACATCTGGAGGGCCAAGTTTGTCTATGCCTGGTCCAGGGAGTCTCCCCCTCCTGCTGCAACCAGCTCCCCTCCTCCCTGGTTTCCAAGAATATGTGGAGGAATGAAGAGGGTGGAGCAACGAGAGGCAAGACAAAGGAGCCTGAGATTGCTTGAGAAGAAACCAGAGGAGTCTTAGGGAGAGGTGGGAAGGCAGGGACCTTCAGCCCTCGCAACTGCCTCATTGGGGCAAGACTTACTGGGAAGAGTTGCTGTGGCCTCCACTTTATTCTTTGAATACAGAGTTAACTTCACTGGCACTGGTGGTTTTATTGCTGTCCTCTGCCTGACAGATGGCTTCCTCTGTTGGAGGTTATGCTAGATATCGGGTCTTACCACATGGTATCCACTCCTGTGTCACACACACTTAGGTTGTATCCCTCTTTCTGTTCTTACTGGGAAACTTGTACCTCCCTTGCTTGTTCCACAGATATTGCCTGCCCGACAGTGTTTCTCAAATTTGGGTCTCCAGAAGTTGTTAGACTACAACTCCCATCATCCCTCGCTAGCAGGATCAGCAGTCATGGATGACGGCAGTTGTAGTCCAACACAGCTGGAGACCCAAGTTTGAGAAACACTTGTGGAAGCTTTCCAGTTGTCAACAGTGACAGATAGATGGGCAGTGACTACTTGCAGATTTTAGGGTATCGAATCTTGCTCTCTCAAATATGAATTGTGCCCCAAACAGAGCTACGGGGTGGTGGGGTGGTGGTGTTGATTGAGGGAGGGGGGGCCAACTAAGCCAGGTGGGTGTGAGAGCAGCTTATCTTGCTCTTTTGCGTTTAACAGCAGCCCAAAGTGCAGAAATCAGCAGGGGAAGCTGTTCGCAGCATGGAGCCAACCACAATCTATTGACTGTGCATTAAGCTGTCAAAGGCACAGCTAGAGTGGCCAATATATACGGTGTGTGTGTGTGTGTGTGTGTGTGTGTGTGTGTATCTATATCTATATCTATATCTATATCTATATCTATATCTATATCTATATATATCTGGAGACTTAAAAAGAAGAATGGAGTGTGTGTGTGCATGTGCATGTGTGTGTCTGCATGCACATGAGCACCCACGTACACCTTCATGTGTGCACTGTGTGTGAATAGAGTTTTAAGAATGAAAGACCTAGAACCACAGAAGGATAAAGCTGAAGTGCAATGGAATAGGTCTGCAGCATCTTCCGGGGTTGGAGATAGGTTGCTGCTCCTATAAATGGCAAACCACTCTGATGTGGGAGGGGCTGTGAACAGAGCCAATGAAGAACGTAAGAAGGGCTGGATCAGGACAGTGGCCCATCTAGTCCCTGTGGCGTTTGCCCTCCTAGGTGACATCATGCTGGGTCATAAGGAAAGGGTTAAATGGGTGTGAAGTGATTGGCCAGTGGGAACCCAAGGGGAGGAGTTAGAGTTAGAGTTGGAGTTGTTTGGAGGTCAGTTGGGAGTTGGAGAAGGAAGAGGGAGGATAAGTCTGTGGGTTGGTCGAGTTGTGTTGTGAGAGAGTGAGATAAACTGATAGGAGGAGTCAGATAGACAGTTGGGATAATCAGTTAGCAGTTATTAGGAAAGGTATAGGCTGGTATAGAAACTAAGATTAAGAAACTGACAAGAAAAATTATCTGAAACCATAAACTTGTTAAGGCTTATAAAATAAACTTGCTTATTTGATTTAATGTTGACAACTGTCTGGACTCTGTGTGTACCTGAGAGAAATGGGTTGGTGGCAGCGGGAAAGCAATCACAGTGGTGGCACAGGGATCAATAGACCGTCAAACATCCGGGGACCCTGTGTGATTGCCACAGTCCCGTATCCTGTTTTCACAGTGGGAAACCAGCGAGCAGAACACAGAACACAAGGGCACTCTCCCTTTCTGTGGCTTCCAGCAACTGGCATTCAGAAACATTGCTGCCTCCAGCTGGGGAGAGCCGCAACATACATTTAAAACACACCCAACGCACTTTAAAAGCACACGTCTCCCCACAAAGAATCTTGGGAAACTGTAGCTTGCCCCTCACAGAGCTGCGGTTCCCAGCACCCTTAACAAACTACAAAATGTGGAGCCCATCTCAGGGTTGTCCCACGGTGATGGCCCTGACTGAGGCACCATGCGGCTCCTCCCAGCACAACAAATTGGGGGCTGGGGAAGGAAGGGGCCTGCTCACACCAGGCAGGTGCAGACTGAGCCTAGGAGACCCCAGAGAGCACCCCCTGCCATTCCCTCCCTCGGGGTTGGAAGAGACCAGCAGAGCCTCCAACATGCCAAGGGACAACGCCGGCCTCCAAGGATTGTGCCACAGCAGCAGTGGGAGATGGCTTCCTTGGAGGTCTGATCTGCTGCCCCTATGGATCCTGCCGCCTTGCCTCACCTTGCCTCATGGGTGGGCTGGCCCTGGAGCAGGCAAATCACGGCAAACACTCAGGAAACAAGTTGTCTGGAGAAGCCCTTGTTGTTTAACACAGACTAACAGTTACCCCTTTGAACAGCAGAGGGCAATGTTGGCTCAGAGTAGGTGCACTGCCATTGTGTCAAATATGAGTTCACATTCCCTGCTTTTTCGGGGGCCTTGGAATTTGATGAAAATTCACACTCTTCCCTTAAAAGGGAAAAATGTGACAATTTTGGCCAGTCCTGGATATTCTTGCCCCCGCAACTTTGTGAAATATATTTTCTCCTCCCCTCAATTCATGGGAAGCCAATTCATATACTCCCCGAGAAGAGTGTGAGAGAGAGACACCTTGTGGCTGTTTATGGCAGTGCAAGTGCTTTTTTTGGGGGGGGGGGAGGAGACGGGAGTAAATGTGAGCTGTCAATTTGTAATCCCAAAAGAGTGTCAAATATATTGTAGTCAATATTTGTCAAACAGCCTTTTCTTCATCAAAGTTTGCTTATCTGTGCTGGGAGTATAATATATAAATGATAAATTATCTCTCTTGGCAAAAGAAGCCTGATTAGTCCTGATTTATATATTTGCATATGGTGTTAATTAATCTCCCAGCTGAGAATACATAAATACATAAAAAATACATAAAATACATAAAAAATAAAAAGTGTGTGAAATAGACATAGGTCTGTATGAACCTATTGCTGAATCTTTGCCTATTACTGTTATGGTTGGATCCTGCCATGGTTATGGTGGTTTATTGATCGTCCGTATTCTATCCATTGTTCCCCCACCCCAATAGATTTACCAGTACAGCTGAGAAGGTTTTGTAATAACGTGAAGTAAAACAATCTGATCTAGGAGCTTTATTTCCTCTTCTCCCTACCCGTCCGCCCACCACAAATGCTTAAATAGCCTCTAATATATCATTTTCTGATTTTCTTCAGTAAGACTCCAGGGAAACTCCTGCAAGAAGCGGCGAAAACACCAGCCCCCCCAACTTTACTCGGAACTAATAAAAGGAAAAGAGAACTTACAAATAAAAAGGGGGAAATAAACTTACAACCAGCATGCACAAAACTCTGGCGAAGGAATAGGTCCTTCTCTGGCACCAAAATGACAGAAGGCAGGGACACTGTTATTCCACAAATGGGGTGCCATAATTGAGAGACACACCTCTCCAGCCAGAAGGCAGGGGATGATGGAGAAAGGACCTCCCCCAACCCCAGCAACCAGGATTGGGCCACCTTAAGTGGTAGAAGGTGGTCTTTCATGTAACAGAGGAACCTAATATGAGCTCTGCAGGATGGGAGCAAAGGTCTTGCTTCTTAGTGTGGCCCAGCAGAGGCTCCTGATAAGTCCTCAAGCAGGACTTGAAGGCAACAAGTGTTCAGAGGCGTCCTGCCTCCCCCCCCCAGAGGTGCTGAATGGGTACAGACCCTCCAGTTGCCCCTATTTCCCAGAGAAAGTCCTGGATTTACAGAAGCTATCCTGGTTTCGGATTTGATCCCAGAAAGTCTTGCTTATCCTAAGATTGTCCCTATTTTCATCAGAGAAATGTTGGTGGGGTGGAGTAATAGGACGTCTCCAGGTCTTTATTTCACCTGGAACTCAGTTCTGGTGCCTCTCTGGAGGGCACCATTGCCATTCTAAGAGAATGAGGTTCATTGTGAGTTCTAGCACCTCTTTCCCTAGAAAAATAACACTGGACATCCCTATTTCCATCAGCAAAATGTTGGCGGTTATGTGGGTATCGTGATTATCGTTTTTTAGCATAGACACAGGTGGTGCATGCAGGAGAGAAATTAGTTTTCCTTTCCAAAATGTTCCTTTTAAGCCTTCAGCAAATAATTTAGTAATTAATACACTGGCTTTTAACTATGCCCCACAGGAACCCCCGACATTCCTGGCCAAATTTTGTTTGCTTTGAAACGGGAGGATAAATAGTGGCAGTTTGCAGCTAGGTCCTTATCTGAGGCACTTTTTGCTTAGGCCAGCTGTGGAGAGCCTTTGGCCCGCCAGATGAAACTGAATGACAACTCCCATCCATCTTAGTAAGCAGGGCCAACAGCCACAGGCGATGGGAATTATAGTTCAACAACATCTGGAAGGATAAAGGTTCTCCACACCTGGCCTAGAGCCAGTCCTCTGAGTTGCTTTTGTCTCTGAGGCCTGTGCAGTGTGGCCATGGGCCCTGCCTGTCAAAAGATGGACCGAGAGGGGGGTCTTGTCATCTGGGCAGCCCCGGACCTCCATACCCACTGCCCAGGCTTGTGCCCCAGCAAGGTCACTTCAGAGCTGCTAATACAGTAGTTTGACTTCACCCCTGGAAGCACACTCCATTGTGTCTCGAGACAGACAGAGGCCAACAACAATGATTGAATCCCACCCCAAAATAGTGACAGTCTGGAAGCACCCTTCGTAGCCACCCTAGGCCTGCACAGTTTCTGCCTTGGGGCTGGCAATCCTCCCGGCATGGACTTCCACATCCCATGTTTTCCCTCCTTACCTGTGACTGTGGCAATAACCTGATTTTTTCATTTTTTTACAAACACTCTGTAAGGTTTCAGTGTACTCTTCTTTGAAAAGAACTGACCTTGGGAAGGCAGCTCTGAACTTCCCGCTGCTCCAGAAAGAGAGGGAAGAAAACAATATCTTTCTGAATTTACACATCCAGCTGGGGGACGTTAAATATTTATTTTGGGCCTCGGAGGATGCCAACATGCATCCGAAATGCGGCAGTCATTAGTAGGCGACTGTGCGGTGTGGGAGAATCGCAAATAGAACCAAAATCTCTCAATGAATTCATACAAGCTGCTGGTTGGGGAGCTGTCGATAGAAGTGCAGAGTCAGCAGCAAACCTCCTACGGAGCAAAGTGGAGCAGGATTAGCCCCAGAGCCCAACAGATCATCTCGCTCTTCTTGTTTCATTTACATTGCAGTTGCTGAACTGTGTGCATTTCAGAGGGCTCCCTCCCTCCAGGGGTAGATGGGGGCTGGTCAACCTGGGAAGGTAATCCATCTAGAAGAAGGAAAACTCTGGTCCAAAACCTCCACTAACTGGCGGCATGTCTTTGGGAGAAGAAAAGGCTAAGGAGTAAACCCTGCACAAATTTGGAGCTGTCGTTCAGGAATGCAACTGCGCCATTCCAGGCAGAGGGCCTTCTGGGCAGTGGTGCCTGCCCTGTGGAACGCCCTCCCATCAGATGTCAAGGAAATAAACAACTACAGTGGTACCTCGGGTTACATACGCTTCAGGTTACAGTCTCCGCTAACCCAGAAATAGTACTGCGGGTTAAGAACTTTGCTTCAGGATGAGAACAGAAATTGTGCGGCGGCGGCGGCGGCGCAGCAGCAGTGGGAGGCCCCATTAGCTAAAGTGGTGCTTCAGGTTAAGAACAGTTTCAGGTTAAGAATGGACCTCCGGAACGAATTAAGTACTTAACCCGAAGTACCACTGTACCTGACTTTTAGAAAACATCTGAAAGCAGCCCTGCTTAGGGAGGTTTTTAAGGACTGATGTATTTATCGTGTTTTTAATATTCTATTTGGAGCCACCCAGAGTAGCTGGGGAAACCCAGCCAGATGGGCGGTGTATGTATAAACAAACAAACAAACAAACAAACAGACAGACAGACAGACAACAAGCAAACAATTATTCCATTGCCCCACCCTCCAGATTTCCCCCTACCCACCCCATAGTTGGTCAGCACTCCATGGTCACTGTGCATGCTCAGTCCCCTAATGGCTATTTTTTTAGCATATCTACCCTTCCTTGAGGGGTTTTTTTTGTTTTGTTTACTTTTACAAACCTCTGTCCCCCCCCACAGCTGACTCTGCAGATGCCTCTCTTGTGCATGGAGGCTGCCATTTTGGTTAATTAAGCCATGCCCCCCCATCTGCACATTGAACATAGAAGGCGTTACGGAAATTACGGGGGGAGGGGACATCTTTAAAGTTAAATGTTACAAATATTATGCCTGAATGTATCCTCTCAACTTGACAGCTCAGGGAAGTTACCTAGCTTTAAACATAATATAAAATCATCTCCTTTGCCAGTTTCCTCCATTCCAAAGCTATTTTCCCCTTGAAAAAGGACTCCAGGAAGTTCCCAGAGGTGACAGTTGGTGGGCTCATTGTTAGTCAAGGGAAGCCAAATCTCATCACCTGACTTGCCTCAGGCTCCAGACATGCAAAGGAAGTTCTATTGTACTTTTGGGTGGTGGGTACTTAAGACATATTTGTCTATGCTAATCTTATACCTGAGTCTTGCCCTGCCATGTCTGCTTATGCTAATCTTGTACCATGGACTTGTCTGGACATGTTTGCCAAGGTTAACCCCTCTCCTTTTGTGACATGTCAGTGATATAGCAATGATATAGCAATGATGCTGTACGAACTGTATTCTGGGATATGGTGGGAAAGTTTTAAAAGTCTTTGTCACCCCATCCTCGGGGTTCAAATTTCCTCTTTGAACCTATTGAACAATAAACTTTGGTCTACAGCTATCTGCTCTGGTTGGTGGCTGGAATCCTTTTTTTATTCCGCAGGGACCCACGGGCTCTGCCTGACGAGCTGGGTGACTGAGCAGCCTCACACCTAGATTTTTCTGTAACTGTTATGTACTGAGTTGAATAGGATCCAAAAGGCAGCAGTCTGATTGGTCCTAGAACAATGCGTCAGTTTGATTGGTCTGCAGGAGCCACCCAATCCAGCTCCAGGTGGAAGTGAATTCGCAATCTGATTGACCCACGGGAGAATTCCGGAATTAGCCAATCATTTGTGGCCCATTGTGTAAATAATGTATATAAAGCAGATATTTGGGGGGAACTTTCATTCCTCAGTACTATGAGCTGAATAAAGAGCATGAAATCCACACTCGACTTCGAGTATATTTCAGTAACATTGGAGTAGCTAGATCTCACACTGATAAAAGAAAGCCACGCTCCATCCCACAGCCTTAATACTCCCATTGTGGCCCTTTCAATATTTTATCCGTCCTGTAACTTTGGCTTGTTCCCTTTAAGCAATGGACACCTCCAGTTTTGGCCTTCTGTTCGCCAGCTACCTTTGAGTGCAATGTGGGTGTGGGCGTTGTTGCAATCAACAGCCAACGTGTAATTCCAATTTGTGCTTCGAGTCTACAGGGAGGATTCCAGCTCCTTGCTGTTTCAAGGCCAGACAGTGAAGAATCAAGCTCTTATGTATTTGCTAATAGAAATGGCAAAGCTTTTCGATTAAGCTGATGCACAGTCTCTGAACTGTTGCTTAGGGGAGCCGGAGAGCAGAGAGAGAGGGTGTTTAAACTGGATTAAATTGTTAATTTCTTTGATCACTTGTTTTGTTTGCCTTCATCTGGCACACAGGGCTACGTGTTGTTCTTTGTTCTGCCAGTGAACAAAACAAAAGAAAAACTCGGAGCAACTTCTCAGGCTCTTAATTTCAAGTTGGCATTATAGATCCCCGGTGCAATAAATGCAGTATTATAAAAATTTGGGCAGCGGTGTGGGAAGGATCATGATTCAGGGGAAGTGCACGGGATTCTCATGCAGAAGCACCCAGGTTCAGTCTCAAAGAAATGATCAAGTAGCAGAGAATCGTGGGGAGGGGCACTGTCTGAGATCCTGAAAATTTCCAGCCCATAGGAGCAGCAAATAGGGAGCTAGATGGATGAATAGTCTGACCTGACAAAAGTTGTATTCAGGATTATCTTGTATGATAGTAGAGAGTTTGGATTTGATATCCCGCTTTATCACTACCCGAAGGAGTCTCAAAGCGGCTAACAATCTCCTTTTCCCTTCTTCCCCCACAACAAACACTCTGTGAGGTGAGTGAGGCTGAGAGACTTCAGAGAAGTGTGACTGGCCCAAGGTCACCCAGCAGCTGCATGTGGAGGAGCAGAGAATCGAACCCAGTTCACCAGATTACGAGACTACTGCTTTTAACCACTACACCACAAGAGAGGATGAGACATACATAGAATCCTAGATTTGTGGGGCTGGAAGGGACCCCAAGGGCCATATCTAGTCCTACCCCCTGCAATGTAGGAATCTCAGCTCAAGCATCCATGGCAGATGGCCATCCAACCTCTGCTTAGAAACTTCCAAGGAAGGAGAGTCCAGAACCTCCTGCAGGAGACCGTTCCACTGTCCAGCTCTTACTGTCAGGAAGAGGGAGCTATGGGGCAGAAGAGGGGCAATTAAAAGCCTTAAAGTTAAAGGTACCCCTGCCCATACAGGCCAGTCTTGACAGACTCTAGGGTTGTGTGCCCATCTCACTTTAAGAGGCTGGGGGCCAGCGCTGTCCGCAGACACTTCCGGGTCACGTGGCCAGCGTGACAAGCTGCATCTGGCGAGCCAGCGCAGCACACGGAACACCGTTTACCTTCCCGCTAGTAAGCGGTCCCTATTTATCTACTTGCACCCGAGGGTGCTTTCGAACTGCTAGGTTGGCAGGCGCTGGGACCGAGCGACGGGAGCGCACCCCGCCGCGGGGATTCGAACCGCGACCTTTCGATCGGCAAGTCCTAGGCGCTGAGGCTTTAACCCACAGCGCCACCCGCGTCCCACATTAAAAGCCTTAAACACCTGCTATTCCAGGAGCAATGAGCCCACCACATGCCGTTGGGCTACGATGACCACCATCCCTGACCATTAGCCAGGCTGACTGCCGCTGGTGAAAGCAGGAACATAGGAATGTTCCTTACAATGAATTGGATGTTCGGTCTATCCAGCTCAGTATTGTCTGACTGGCAGCGGCTCTCCAGGGTTTCAGACAGAGAAGATTCTCAGCTCTATCTGGAGATGTCGGCGATTGAACCTGAGACTCTCTCCATCCAAGTCTGATATTCTATTACTGAGCTATAGCCCGGACTCCGCAACACTGGCAAAGTAAAAATGCTTTATATGCGTTGTTTATGCCTTCTAACACTGTCACACCAGATGGCGCTGTGGAGTTCCATGTTTGCTTACCTGATTTCTCATACAGTTTGCAACATGTTTCACTGAAACCCTTCTTTGATGTGTCTGGATCCTTCTCCTATGACATCTGCGGGGCCACAGGTTCCCCTGTAGCATCCTAATCAGCTTCAATAATACACACGCTTCTGAATGCTTTGGGACCAGGGACTAAAGCATATGTAGGCAACCTAAAGCCTAGGGGCCGGATCCAGCCCAATTGCCTTCTAAATCCGGCCCTCGGACGGTCCGGGAATCAGCTTGTTTTTACATGAGTAGAATGTGTCCTTTTATTTAAAGTGCATCTCTGGGTTATTTGTGGGGCATAGGAATTCATTCATTATTATTTTTCAAAATATAGTCCGGTCCCCCACAGGGTCTGAGGGACAGTGGACTGGCCCCCTGTGAAAAAGTTTGCTGACCCCTGGACTAAAGTATGGTTTGAAAGTGTGTGTAGGTGTGTATGTGTTTGTGTGAGAGAGAAGGAGAGAGAGAGAGAAAATCGGCTATTTTATTTTATTTTTTGCAAACACAACAGTATTTTAATAAGAAGTCAGTATTTTAATAAGAAGACAATTTGGAAGCAGAGCCAGGGGTATACCTATCTGAAGATGGAGATTTATGGTTTAATTCTGATTCAGGCTTATTCATCACTGGCTGAAGGATGGGCCGAGCTTTGCACTGAGAAATGATTCAGTTATGAAAAATGGATTCCATTTAAAAGACCGTATCTAAGATTTGCTTTTGCTGCAGGCGCTCAAGCCTTGCTTTCCTTTGCCCCTGGCACATGGCCTGTGGTTCTAATGAACACAGGAGGAAACTGGCCATAATCTAGTAAGGGGCTCATACCAATCCTTTTCTCCCTGGGGACTGGCGAATCGTAGGCCTATAAAAGACATGGAGGTCATCTAATTCAGCTGCCTGCATGCAGACCAGTGTGATGTATTCAGGGGGAAGTACAGTTAGATACGAAGCTGCACATCTAGTTTGGAACCCTGTTGTTACTTAAGGGCAAGTAAAGCCATTAAGTTGAACTGTGTTTCCTAAACTTTTTTGTAGCTGGAGTACTTCTGGTTTAAGAGGGATATGCTACTCTTACAGCCAATTTTTTGTGTGTGAACATTTTGCATCCCCTCCCCCGAGAACTCAGGCATATTTTGCTTAGAGCAGAAAATGGTATCTCTCCCCCACTCCTACCAGGTATAGATTTGGGAAGTGCTTTTTTCCTCAAAAAATGTTTAGGGGTACTCTCATTTTGACTCAAGAAAATCACCATTTTATAGTTCTAATTGGGAAAAATAAATACAGTAAATGGACAAAAGTACAAAGATTCACAAAATGTTTAGGGCTATGCGTCCCCCCAGAAAAAAGCACTCGACTTGGGTGTGTGGAGAGTGTTATATGACATTAACTGTGCTTAGCTTTTTTTAAAAGTTACTGTTTTGTTAATGTTGCTAATAATGTTTTATATATTATAAATGCCGTATTGATTTTTTAATCATATAATATGATTTTTGCTGTAATTGTGACGTTCAGCTTATGTTTTAGTTGCTGTTTTGTTAGTAGTGTTTTATTGACGATTTGTTAATTATTTTATATGATTCATGTGATATTCTGTTCTGTTCTGTTCTGTTCTGTTACTGTTATTGATTGATTGTAAGCCACTTTGATATTCATTTGAATGGAAAGCGGCATAGAAATAAAATAAATCAAAATCAAATCAAATCAAACAGGGTTAGCACTATGTGCAAGAAATCTCCCTCGCCAACATAATTAGGCCTTCCCTCCAGGCATGGCCAAACTTGGCCAGCCAGATGTTTTGGGACTACAATTCCCATCGTCCCTGACCACTGGTCCTGTTAACTAGGGATGATGGGAGTTGTAGTCCCAAAATACCTGGAGGGCCAAGTTTGGCCATGCCTGCTGTAGGTCAAGAGTAGCTATTATGGTGCCCTGCAGATGCTGAACCACAACTCCCAACCAGCCAATAGGTAGAGATGATGGAGGTTGTAGTCCAACTGCATTGGCTGCCCCTGCTGTCAGCTCACCAGTGCGAACCTGTGAACAGCTGCAAGCCACACTACCCAACATAACAGGAGGACCCAATGGCAATGAAATGCAAAACATGCAGCCTACAGCAATTCAACTAAAGCTTAAAATGTATAGAAGTTAGAGATTGCTGCTTAGAAGCTACCAGTTTAGAAATTATCAAGAGAATCGCTTCCATCACTTCTGGCTTGAATCAGGATACTGTAGTGTGTTTTATCAAGTACTTTGTGAATTTTATTTCCCTCTGACCTCTCTGTTTGCGCCTTCCCACCCAACCATGTGTATACCAGAAACTCAGGAAAACACTTGGAACTGCAGTTTGTTAAGAGTGCAGAGAAGTGTAGCTCTCTTTGGGAGAAGTCATGCACCTTAAATGAGTGTTGAATGTGCTTTAAACATTTGGTGTGGCTCTGCAGTATGTATCTGAGCAGAAGGGAACCTTTGCTGCACTACAACTCCCATCATCCCCCATCGTTGGCCATGCTTGCTAGAGCTGTTGGGAGTTGTAGTTATGCAGCATCTGGCGGGCCAAAGGTTCTTGTTCATGAAAGTCCTTGTGCCATAATAAAGTTGTTTGCCTTTAAGGTGCTACAAGACTCTTTGCTGCAATAGACTAACGTGCTGGCCACTCGTCTGGAAATTGTTAAAACCATCCTAGCATTGCTAAGCTAATTAACACGTGTAGTGAAGTAAGGAATAGGGAAATTAACCATATCATATGCTTTCATTTTTTTAAGTGTTGATGTTCGTTTTAATGCAGCATTTTATGTGACTGCTTTGTATGCACTGCCTTGGTTAGCAGAAGCTGAAAAGAGGCATAGAGATCTTGAAAACAAACCAGTAAAGGTTGTAGCTTTGGGGCTGTCTGGAGTCACCCAACCCCAGGTGGGCAGGGAGAAAGTCATCCCCATACTTTGAACTTTTCAAAGGCAGAATATATATATATATATATATATATATATATATATATATATACACACACCCACACACCCACACACACCCACACCCTATTGAGATTAGTCCTCAGCTGCCTTGCAGGATATCTTTGGGAGAAGAAAACCCTACACAAATCTGGAGTGAAGTCTCTAAGATGGTTGGATGGAGCCTTGTATGCCTCATTCTAGCAACTCCTGCAGCCAAGCTGGTGCCAAACATATTGCTCTGCTGTCCTTTGGACCACCTTAGTGAGGCCAAGAGGAGGGTCTTGTTCTCTGAGCAACCCAGGACCCCCAGACACACTTCCCAGGCTTGCACCCTGAGAAGAAGAAGAAGAAGAAGAAGAAGAAGAAGAAGAAGAAGAAGAAGAAGAGGAGGAGTGCGGATTTGATATCCTGCTTTACCACTACCTGAAGGAGTCTCAAAGCGGCTAACATTCTCCTTTCCCTTCCTCCCCCACAACAAACACTCTGTGAGGTGAGTGGGGCTGAGAGACTTCAAAGAAGTGTGACTGGCCCAAGGTCACCCAGCAGCTGCATGTGGAGGAGCGGAGACACGAACCCGGTTCACCAGATTACGAGACTACCACTCTTAACCACTACACCACACTGGCTCTCAGTGTTACCTGAGGAGGTCACTTCGGTGCTGCTAAAACAGCAGTTTGAATAAATTAAAAAAATTATACCCAGAACAAACTTAGTTGGTCCGTAAGGTACTATTGGATACTTTTTAAAATCATTTCGACTGCGTCAGACCAACACGGCTACCTACCTGAATCTAGAATCACAGCAGTTTGACTTCACCCCCATTGTCTCTTGAGAGAGATGGATGCCAACAATTGAGATCAGCCCTCAGAACAAGCCTGTTTGAGGGATGGAGAGAGGAACAAACAAATAAGATGCTAATTCCGTGAGTCAGGAGAGCTGCTTAGAATTCTTTAAATGGGTATCAGTCTCCTACTCTCTTAGGGACAGCCCGATGGGGAAATTACCTGGGTACTTGACTATCTGGTGCATAAGTAGGATAATTCCTCATTTGCTCATGTTTAGACATTCAGATGTCCCCCCCCCCCGCCACAAGAGATGTTAAGCACACCTTTTAATCTGGAATGTACAACTTTTAAATGCTGGATAAAAACCCAAAGTGTCTTTGGAGGGAAATGGCCAATGGTCAGAGAGGATGGGAACTGTAGTCCATTGATACCGGAAGAATCAAAGGGTCCTCATCCATGACCTAGACTTTTGGGTGCTTGCCGCTTCAGTAAATGGGAGGAGGGCAGGGAAAGTTTTGTGTTGTTCAACAGAGTGGCATTATATAATGCATTGGCCTTGACTTCATGGTACACTTCCCATAAAGGTTCCCCATCTGTTCTAGTCAATATGCGCTTTGCATTTCAGTTACAGACACAGGGAATGCAGAAAGCTGATTTAAGCGTGACGCCTCGCAGCTGTTATCTTGTGGGGGGCTTATTTGTGACATTTGAGTAAGCTCGCTTCAGATCGCTGAATTAATTTGTACACAAAGCCCACCCCGACCCAGCGCTCTTGATGGATTTGCATAATCCCTCGCCCTACTGACCCTTAATCTCACACAGAGCTACAGATATTACAGGAGGACAAATGCAAAGTTACAATTCCGACAAGTTTAGAGGGTGCAAAACTGATTGGTGCCTGAACCATAAAACCTTCAACCGGAGGCGGCCTGCCCCATATCGCAGGGTGAAGCATTCGCCTCATGCCGAGAGAGGGAGGCATTCTGGAGCATAGCGTTTGGCATTCACCTTCCCTGTCCCCAAGTGGAGAAGTCAGACATGAGGCAGCACTTGGAGGGGTGGCCTGCCTCCTGCCAAGTTTGACAAGAACTGGGATGCAGTGGCGGAGAAAGAGGAATGCGGCAGGAGGGGCCAGGAGGTAGCAATTCAGGGTCACCCCTGCCCCTGAACCTATACTGTAGGGAGCAGAGAGTCCAATGATACATTGAGGGCCACAGGGCTTCTTGCCACTGCTGTGCTGTATCTGTCATGAAACTAAAACTGAGGTATTCTAACAACAACGTATGCTGGGTAGACAAACTGTGCTACTCTCTATTGCTGCCTCTGTGAATGTGATCACAACTATGCATACAGTTATGAAGTTGCACAAGACTTTACTGCGCATTGTGCACATATACAAAGGAATGTGTGGTCGGTCCCCGGTATACTTGGGTTCTCCCACATGTCATGCACACTCTTTCTTATGGTGGCATCTTCATGCGCACGCCCAGCATGAACTGACCTCCAACGTAGTGTCTGAACAGGGCTTAGGGAAGCAAGGAATCAGATGAGGAGTGTGTGGTCAAGTTTACTTTGGAAAAACCAGAAGCAAGACTTACTGTCAGCGCCAGCTTCCCAAATCGTTATCTTGACCTTGACCGGAGACAAATATCCAATGCATTGACTATCCTTTCGTGTATGTTTTCTGGTCTCAGATCTGATCCCAGGTCCTTTTTATCAAATAGATATAGGTCAAGAATGGTGAAAGTAGCGTAGATTCCCAGTGAAGATTGAAACAATCAGGTCTGTGCGCTTATTTCCATTTTGGTGGGATAATGCTATACTAGGAGTGAGGAACATCTGGCCCATGTGTTGATCTTGGGCTGTTTGGCCTTCAAGACCTTAAAAAATAAAAGTCATGCAAAACTGTCAATCAACTGTGATGGCCCATTGATGTCAGTTGATGGGGTGTGTGTGTGTGTGCCGCTTCCCTGCAGGATTATCAACCCCCACCCCACCCCTGCTCCACGATAATGGGGAGTTTAAATCCTGCTCAGTTTGACTGTGTGAATAAATTCCCTGTGGGCAGTCAGATCTGACCTTAAGAATCTGGCATATAGTGGGGTCCAAAAGGTTCCTCAGCCCTGTGCAATATCATCCCTTTTCAGGGGAAGCTATCATTCCCTTTTGCTTTAAGCTTTGAACGTTTCTTTGCCACATGCCCCCGTGATCCTTGTGCAAGAGATCTTGTTAAAATAAGAAAAGCAGAGGGAATAAATAGTCATTCTGCGGGAGAGTCATTCTGGTTGGCTGCTGTGGAATAACTAGCAGCAACAATTGCCAAAGCTCCATTTGGTCTCAGTTCACTGAAGACAGTACAGCTTGTACTGGCTTCTGATCATTCATTTGAAACTGGCGAATTGATTCTTCTGACTGGAGGCAAAGAAGGGAGACTGGAATTTAACGCTGACTAGAGGCCTTGGGTTGAGTTCTCTCTCTCTCTCATTCTCTCTTTTACAGCTGCATCCGAGAGGGAGAAAGAGAGAGTGCACAATAGATGTGCGGTGACTGGCAGGGAGAAGACAGGAGCTGCCTTGAACATACCCCCACCTCTGTGAAACTCTACCACTCCACCAAAATTTCCCTTCCCAAAGATGAGTCAGCAGCAGAGTTAACACCCGGCTGTGTTAACTGGAGCTTAATGGAGCAGAGGAAATGCAAATGCTGAATTGTGCTTGTTCGCAAAGGCTCTCCATTACACACACACACACACACACACACACACACACACAGCAGATTAAAGGCTGCACTTTTCAAGAGGTAGAGGATGGAGGCCACAGGTGTGTCTCTGCAAAGTCTGTAGAACTGGACTGCGCGCTAAAGTAATACAGGAGCTGCTAGGGGCACCAAGCTCTTGGTCCTGCGCTTAAAATTCCAGATATGGATTTGAACCAAAAAGTCAGATTTTTAGCTCAGTTTGCTAGCTGAAACTATTTGAATAATTAAAGAGGCTGTATTGATCTGGATGGATTTACTACTGGGAATATGCATGTGATTGGCTTGCATATGTACAGAAATAGATGTTTATTAGCTGAGCCTGCAACAATTATTGCTGGACGTTGATGTGTTTGTGGTGTCTATTTCCTCCAGAAAGATCGGGTTTGTTGGGGAAAGGTGGGAAACTGATCACTCATCTAAAGTTGGATAAGGAGAATGTATTCCCTGCCCCCAGTCTGTCCCAGTCCTATAGACATTGTATTATGATCCAGTGTTGCCACAAACCTCTGCCCTCCCCATTTTCAATGGCTGCCAGTTGATACAAGGAGGCTTCTCAGCTTTTCTGACATGCTGTGTCTTTCCCCTTAAAATGTGCTTCCTCTCCTGGCAACCGTGCACATTTTGCAAGGAGGAACGGAAACCCATTCTTTGCTGAATCTCTGCAAGTGTAAATTGAGCTCCTAATTAACTAATAGGCATCCGCTAGACTTTTGAAGAACTGCCTCTTCTGGTATTGCACTGTAAGTTGCATAAATTGCTTTGTGGAACAAGTCCCCAGGTCCACCAGTTGTAGCTCCACGACTGAGCCCATTTATGTAAATCCTGCTAATGTGATGATCATTTCAAATATGGAAATCACCTGTGGCCCTAGTGATGAACAAGTTGCCCACCCTCTGCAATGGAACATCCCTCCTTCTTTCAGAAGCTCAAATGTACAGCTTTGCTCTTTCCCCCCCTTTTTTTCTTTTTTAAAAAGCTTAACATTAATTTGCAAAAACCTGTGGGCATGGAGAAATGTTGGCAAGACTGACCCCGATATGTGTTATTATTACCAAAGGGAACAACTCTGAGATATCTGCTACAGCCTTTTCTCTTCCATTTAATTATAGAAACATTAGTGCAGGCAATTAGGGACAACAAAGAAACAGAGGGAAGAGGGTTGGGGCGGGGAGGAGAGGAGCAGAGGAAATGCTCAAAGTTCCTCTTTGTGCTTTTTGATACTAAACCGGAGGGTCTGTCTAAATTAGCTGGTTTCTCAATGCAATTTGTACCTGGAAATATTGTGAATGGCTTGGGAAGCCCGCACTTAATTTTTGCAGTCGGTTTTGATCAGTGCTCTACTACCAGTATTATTAAGTGCAAAAGTTAGGAGATAGCAAGCTTGCAGCAGTGCTTGTTTCTTAACTATCAAGATGTACCTCATCTAGCGCTTTATCTTGCTCATTCTCATCCCTTACCACAGTATTTTTCTTTACCATCATAGGCATCCTTCCGATTTTTTCTGTTAATATTCTCCAGCAATTGTGGAAACTTCACACTCTCTTCTGGACATGTTACAAAGTCTCTTACTGCATCCTCTTTATTTGTACTTGCAACAGACTTAGGGCAACAAAGAGTCTTGTGGCACCTTAAAGCAGGGGTCAACAAACTTTTCCAGCAGGAGGGCGGTCCACTGTCCCTCAGACCTTGTGTGGGACCGGACTATATTTTTTTTGGGGGGGGGGAATGAACAAATTCCTATGCCCCACAAATAATCCAGAGATGCATTTTAAATAAAAGCACACATTCTACTCATGTAAAAACACCAGGCAGGTCCCACAAATAATTCAGAGACACATTTTAAATAAAAGGACACAAACTACTCATGTAAGAACACACTGATTCCCGTGGGCCGGATTTAGAAGGCGTTTGGGCCAGATCCGGCCCCCAGGCCTTAGTTTGCCTACGCATGCTTTAAAGCCTACCCAGTTTGTTCTGGTTATATGGGGGCGGCTTTGAACAATAAAAGTTTCGTTCATTCAGTTTGTGAGAGCATAACCTTTTGGTAGACGACAGTCCATTTCATCAGATACATGAATTGTCATACACATGATAAGATAAGAGATAAGGAGGAAATGAAATGCAGAAAAGTACAGATGAGATGGTAATAATTACATTATCATACAGTTGGGTGGATACCGTTGCCTGAGGATTGCCTGATGTAAATGTTTAAGTTGGTAATTTCCACCTAAAAAGTTTGAACAGTTGTGGCTGTAGGGCAGGGATCAGCAACCTTTTTCAGCCGTGGGCCAGTCCACCGTCCCTCAGACCATGTGATGGGCCGGACTACTTTATTTTTTTGGGGGGGGGAAATGAACGAATTCCTATGCCCCACAAATAATCTAGAAGTGCATTTTAAATAAAAGGATACATTCTACTCATGTAAAAACACGGTGATTCCCAGACTGTCCGCAGGCCGGACTGAGAAGGCGATTGGGCTGCATCTGGCCCACGGGCCTTAGGTTGCCTACCCCTGCTGTAGGGCTTGGCTGTAGACAATGGGTTTGGTGGTATGTTTCGGGTGAAAGGTCAAAGAAGTGTGTCAGTGCGCATAGTAGGTTTCTTTCATACAGTAGTGCTTACATGCCTGTTATATGGTCCTACAAATGATGCAACACTACAACTCCCATCATCCCTAGCCATCCGTCATGGTGCTTGGTACTGATGTGAGTTGAACAGCTGTGTGGTTAGAAAGCAAACTTCTTCAAGGGTAAAAGAGTATTGGGAAATGATACATAATGAATTGAAAAAAAATGTTCAAAAGTACTCCCCCCCACCCAAACACACAGAGTCCTTTCTGTTGGGGATAATTCAGACTGAAATTCCCAGGTTTCAAAAAAAAGGTTATTTATGTATGATTATTTATGAAATACATAAATAAATATTTATGCTTATGTACTACTGAGACCCATGTTTTGTTAGCCCCAAAATGGAAAATGAGCGAGGTCCCAACCAAAGAAGAATGGATAATTATATTGACAGAAGATGTGCAGCTTGCAGACTTAACATATAGAATAAGAGAACCAGAAGAACACACATTTAGAGAAGATTGGAAAACGTTTACAGTGGTACCTTGGGTTAAGTACTTAATTCGTTCCAGAGGTCCGTTCTTAACCTGAAACTGTTCTTAACCTGAAGCACCACTTTAGCTAATGGGGCCTCCTGCTGCTGCCGCGCTGCCAGAGCACGATTTCTGTTCTCATCCTGAAGCAAAGTTCTTAACCTGAAGCACTATTTCTGGGTTAGTGGAGTCTGTAACCTGAAGCATATGTAACCTGAAGCGTATGTAACCCGAGGTACCACTGTATTGAATATATGGAAATAACTGTGTACAGCTGAAAACGCTGGCAGCATTAAGATAAATTCAACAGTGTAAATCAGTTTTGATGGATGTAATAATGGAATACTGAATGGTGTCGTTTTTGTAAAATATTCAGGGATTTATGATATGCAAAATGAACCATGGAAAGAGAAGAAGAAGGGAAGTACGGTCCTTCTTGCATAGCCTGATCTAGGTGACCCCTTTGGAAATTGTAGCAAACTATGGGTATTTGTGGGGGATGGAGTGTGTGTCTGTTCTTACATATTTATCTGTAAAACAAATAAACAGTGGACGGGTATACAATACAGAGTGGGAGGAAGCACACATAGAGAAAGCCACTGCAGTTAGTGGCTTGCAGCACAATCCTAATCAAGTCTATTCAGAAGTAAGTCCTATTGAATTTAGTGGGGCATACTCCCAAGTAAGTGGGGGTTAGGATTGTGACCTAAGTGATTAAACCACCATGCTTGTAGTTCAGATCTCAATATTGCAATGACTGAGTTGCTTTGTTAGGCAAGTCACTGTATTCTGGGCTCTGATCAACAATAAGGAAATACAGTAATAATGCTAACCTACTTATAGAAGTGTTTTCTGAATTAGTCAGATAACGTTTGTGAAGCACTTTGGATACACATGAACACCATATAAATACTGGTCATTTAACCAGTTTGTAACAGTTGTTAGACAATGGAGACTCAGGGTCAAAGCCCTACTGCTAACCCACAAAACGTATTGGGTGATATTGGGCTAGTCACCATCTCTCAGTCTAATCTAATTTACAGGGGAAATAAGTGAAATCATTTATATTTCCAGGAGATCCTCAGAGGAAAGATGGAATACACTAAATGGGAGAGTCTATCTTTAATGTGAGGAATCTTCAAAGGGTTACAGCTGGCTATCAGGAGATAATCACCCCAAAATGAGAGATACGGGTAAGTTCCCTTGAATTAAACAGTTTGAATTTACTTCTGAGTAGATAAGAGTAGTGGATTGTACTGTAATGCTGCAATCCCTCACATGTTTCTGGAGTATCACTGAACATGATAGGAGTAAACATACATTGGTATTGCACTGCACAACACACACTAATGCCAATGAATGGACAGTATTATCTGGAAATGCAAAATAACCTCCACAGATGGATGCTATTATCTTCTCTAACACAGGTTTGGTGGAGTCTGAACAAATATGGTGGATGGTGGGTGGAAGAAATTAAGTCATAAATCTAATGTAATATATGGATGGTTTTGCTGTAAATGTTTTATTATTCCATTAAGTGTTTTATGAAGACTTTTATGGCGAGTCACACTATTTATGGGATTATTTTACCCAGATATCTTTGCTGTTTATTTTTACTTGTTCTCTGCTCCTGTTATAATATGTATTTTATCTTTTATCACAGTGATCAATAGCCAAGTCACTGGTAAATATATATGTGTTAGTCCACGAAAACCTTTACTGTAAATTATTGTTTATTCCAAGCATACACAGCAGAACGAGCTGTCTGTGTCTCCCCTTTTTAATTCAGTATAACAACTTCCCTGAATCGCTGACTGCTTTAACAATGTAACTAAGGCTGCAATCCTACACCCCACTTGCCTGGGAGTAAGTCCCACTGAGCCCAACAGAGGTTGCATCTGCATAGGCATCCATAATTGATAGAACATAATTGTTTTTCAGGGTGAGAGGGGGCTGAGGAATAATGATTTTCTGAGTCCTGAGCTGGAGAAGCTATGAGCTGCTAGGCCATGGGTAAACAAACTAAGGCCCGGGGCCTGGATCCAATCACCTTCTCAGTCTGGCCTGCGGACGGTCCAGGAATCAGCGTGTTTTTACATGAGTAGAATGTGTCCTTTTATTTAAAATGCACCTCTGGGTTATGTGTGGGGCATAGGAATTCGTTATTTATTTATTTCAAAATATAGTCCGGCCCCCCACAAGGTCTAAGGGGTAGTGGACCGGCCCTCTGCTGAAAAAGTTTGCTGACCCCTGTGCAGCTAGGCAGGGCTGAATTTAGATGAAGAGAGGCCCTAGGCTGCTCCATTTGTGAGGCCCTCACAAATTTCCTCATCCCCCACCCTCACAACTGGAAGAAAATGGAAGAGTGTTATAAACAAAATTGAGTGAAGCCAAGGATGATGGCGGGTATTTAAAATTCTACAATTCACAATTTCTCCTCGAAAGGACATAAGATATTATTGTTAAATACCATGGCGATTTTAAAAAATGCATAAAATTAACACTGAATTTTTTTTGCAATAACTGAACTTTGTAAACGTTTTGTGGCCTGGGCAGGCCTGGAACCAGTTCCCATGTCTTGTTCCTCTCTAAGGAGTCAAGTTCGGCTTTCATGGCATTTAACCATGGCTCAGCATCCTCTGAGGTTAAACTTTGGACCTCTTGGAAGCTTACACCAATATACCAACCAATATACCAACAGGACACAGCACACCCACCCTCCACCATCCTAAGAAAACTCCTTAATCCCGATTGTATTTGCTTTTATGCTTTGGCCAATTTACAAAAAGAAAAACATACACCAATAAATAACTTTTAGAAAGGGACAAGATTAGATGCGGATGCACAAAGCATGCCTGCCTGTCCCTCAGAGCCCCCACGTCACACAGGGCTGGGCCTCTGCGGCTGCAGCCTCTCTCCTCCTCCTTGCCCGCTCTCCAGATAGATGCCACTATGAGCTGCCCAAGGGAGGAGGCCAGCAGTGGTGGCCATGGAGAGGCAATGGGATGCTCCTGCCACCATCACTTGGGACAAGGACCTGCTCATCCTCCTCTCTGAACTCAGCAGCAATGGAACTGGTGGGGGAAATAGGGACATTCCAATATAAAATCAGAAGCCAAGATGGCTTTTGTACGTAATTCCAGGACTGAAAATTGGGACACTTGGAGGGTATGTCATTAAGATGACTGGCTAATCAACCTTGCTTATTATGTGGTTGCTATATCTCCCTATCTTACAGAGCCATTGCTAAGATTATTAGTAAGATAATGAAACTGGAAAACTCAGGAAGAATGCAATTTTTAATGCCCAGATACAATGGTACCTCAGGTTAAGTACTAAATTCGTAACCTGAAACTGTTCTTAACCTGAAGCACCACTTTAGCTAATGGGGCCTTCTGCTGCTGCTGTGCTGTCGGAGCACGATTTCTGTTCTCATCCTGAAGCAAAGTTCTTAACCCGAGGTAATATTTCTGGGTTAGCGGAGTCTGTAACCTGAAACGTGTGTAACCTGAAGCATATGTAACCCGAGGTACCACTGTATTGCTATTATTAGCATCAGTCGCAAGGATTCTTTAGCTGACATTCCTGCATTGCAGGGGGTTGAACTAGAGGAGTGTAGGGGACCCTCTACAATTCTATAATTATATGGCAAATGATTGTAAATACATAGTGACGTTAAATAAAGCTTGTCCTTGTGAGTTTAGGTCAGGTAAAAGGGGATGGAGGTGACCTGCCACATCAGACAGGGATGGGTAATCTGAAGTCCTTGGCCTAATTTCATGTGGTCCTCAGTCTGATTTCTTGCAAATGGGGTGGAGTCTGGAAGGGGAAAAACGGGGAAGGTTGGAATAATGAATGTGGAAGGGGAGCCCTCAGTGATCACTTCAGATCTCTGGCAAAAGTGACCTGTTCCTTCTGACTTGCTGGACAAAGAGGAATAGTGGGATGGGGGGAGGGGAAAAAAGGGGCTGGAAAGAGAAAAAAATGGTATGTGATTAATAAGTCTCTGCCATGTATCCCCCACACCTTTCTATGCAGTTGCCCCTTAAGGGGATCAAACCTGGAACCATGGTATTTTTAGCACCACATTCTAACCAAGTGAGTTACCCACCTATGCAAATAGGTGAGTTTGTACCAGTGGAGGTATGTTGAATGCTTCAGATTTAGTGAAATCTACCTTCAAACCTATCCATTCTGAAGGAAATCAGCCCTGAGTGCTCACTGGAAGGACAGATCCTGAAGCTGAGGCTCCAATACTTTGGCCATCTCATGAGAAGAGAAGACTCCCTGGAAAAGACCCTGGTGTTGGGAAAGATTGAGGGCACAAGGAGAAGGGGACGACAGAGGACGAGATGGCTGGACAGTGTTCTCGAAGCTACCAGCATGAGTTTGACCAAACTCATGGAAGACAGGAGTGCCTGGCGTGCTCTGGTCCACGGGGTCATGAAGAGTCGGACACGACTAAACGACTAAACAATAACAACACCTTCAAACCTGCCATCTCCAGTATCTACTCTGTATTGTTTTTAAATATAACTACCATCAATTTCTGCGTTACCCTTGACTGTTTTCTAGCTAGTTTATTGTGTTTTGTACATCAACTTGAGACATGTGGGGAAGGTGACTGATAAATATTAATATTAATAATTCCTGCCATAAGGCACAGGGATTCTCGCAAGTAGCTGGGTGTTTTTCACCTCCGCTTAAAAGCTTGGTGGGGAGGCAGGCAAACTAGTTGGGACAATTTCACAGTTCCTTTGAAGTCTTGAAACCCCTTGGCCTTGAATCTGAACTGGGCTTATTGTGGCTACCCCTTTGCCTTGGCTATTTTCTGTTCTTTCCTTCATGCCAAGTTTGTATCACTAGTCTGCAGTGATAAACACTTCTTTACTTACAAGAAAATGCACCTGTTGTCTTTTTGGGTGGAAGGTGGAATCCTACCTGCCTGTTCGTTGGCTCTGTCTTGCAAGCCATTGTGAGGCACAAGAGTAGCCAGCAACAATGGCAGAAAGGAGGGTAGGCTCACTGAGGGAATGGGGCCACATTGAAGGTCTCCTATCTAGGCCTCAAAATCTGCCTATTTTATTTTTGGAGCACTCCTTGATTGGTTAGCAACCCTAATGTGGAGAGGCAATAATTTTTCTCCTCCACTCAAACGCCACTGCAGATCAGACAAGAATATCTACATCTATTATTAATATTTTTTACTTTAAAAAAATCCAGAATCTCTACATCTAAAGCAGGATTATTCTACACCCAGGCTCCACCTTTAACCCCAATCTTCAACATGGGACTTGCTTCTTATTTTTGCTGCTCTTCTTCATTTTCTCCATCTCTGTCTTCCTGGTTTTCTGCAACTTCCTGCCTCCTGCAGGCTCATCAGACCTTCCCTGTTTCCTTGAGGTGCCAGTTTCATACTTTCCTGTTTTCAAACGCTTTTAATACTTTATACTGCTGTGTGTGTGTGTGTGTGTTTAAAATGTTGTAAATAGTTAATGTTGCTGGGTGTTGTTGCCAGTTTAATATTTTAAATTGGTTTTATTGCTTTTTAAATCCCTTTTAGATTACCTTGGATGCTTGCCTCAACACAATTCCTAAAATAAAAAACAAATAGCAAATAGCAAGCGCTTTTGTATTGCCTGCTTGAGTCACCCCACCCCCCACCCCCAGCCAAAATAAATTTCAACACACATGCTTCAGGCGGTAGATTTCTTTGGGGGCATTATGAAAGGTCAAAAATACATCATTAATTTATTATCATAATTATTTTATCACCAGGGGCACCACTAGTTGTATTTTATTTTGCCATAGGCAGCACAGTATCTTGGGCTGTCTTGGCTATCTGCATTTGTGTGAGTGTTCAGTGGCAGCCATTTTAGATTCGTTCCTCCACCTAGCTACCCACCCCTTTCCTCATGCCAAGCTGGTAATTCTGCTTCATTTCTGGAGTTTGCATCTTTTGTTAATAGCTGCAGATTCAAAAGGCCTTCAGGAGTCTTTGTTTGTCTTTCATAAGAGAAAAAAAGGGGGCGGGGATATTTATAGCCATTACTAACTGTCAGCCAATATTAGCTCTTCAGAAAATGTATGGTTTCAGAAACACATAACCTTTGCTTATTCATTTATTTATTGAAAAGTGTTTATAAGCTGCTTAATATTTATCTTTAAGCATAGCGCCACATGAAAACAACAATTAGTATCATTAAAACAAAAATGCTACACAAAACAGCTGGATAAAAGCATATAGAAACAAATATGCATGAAATACAGATGGAGAAAAAGAGCACTCCCACAGTCCAGTTCTATGTGTCAGGGAAAGCCTGCTCAAAAATATATGTCTTTACATGATGTCTGAATCAACTGATGGCTGCTGCTTCACGTATGACAGAGGGAAGGGTATTCCATAGTGAAGGCGCAGTAGCAGAAAATGCCTGTTTTCAGGTCAGCGCCTATGGTATTTAGTAGGGCAGAACTTTCCAAACTGTGTGTTGCGACACGTTAGTGTGTTGGCTGCAGTGTGTAGGTATGTCACGCAATATGTGTCCATATCTCCCACAAGGAGTTAGTTTAACCTCCGGCTTGACAGTAAAACTGAATTACTGTGTCACGAAGTGATGCATGTCTAAAAAGTGTGTCACCAATTTGAAAAATTTGGAAAGCTCGGCAGTAGGGTGTGGTAGAATTTCCCCAAATGATCTAAGACAAGCGATCTTTCAGGTCTATACAGGGGCAGGCGACCTTTCAGGTAGCATCATTCACTTGGCACTAGTGCTTGAAGAAAAGCAGATCTCCTTCGCCCCATGCCCATAATTTCTTTCTTTCCAAGGTTTCAAGTTGGCGGCTCTACAAAAGTGCATCCAACAATCCAAATCGGTGTTCTGGAGAAATTGCTTGCCTTCTTCAGCAATCAGCAGGCAGAAAGGGAAGAGGCCAGGGAGAAGATCTGCACCACATCTCTTGAGAAAAGACGCTACAGCCCACCTCAGTCTTTGCCAAGTGGTGCAAAATTCCAGGGGTCTTGGCACTTAACCAGGGTTCATGTTTCCTTTGGAATGAGGCACAGCGCAGACTGTAGTGTCTTTAAGATATATGGTTTCTTTACACACCCACCCGCACCAGAGCCTTGAGGGAGGGAATGCAGAACTTTACACTTCAAGAGTGTCTCTTGCTCCTTCTCTCATAGCTTCAGCAAAGCTTGTGTCCAGAGCAGAAGTCAGCTATGTTCCCCCGTCTCTGGGTGCAGCCTCTCCCTGCCAGTCCGCATGGCGTTCTGCCCCACCTTTCTTCTTGCTTTTTCCAAAAACCTCCTGCAGAAGGACACAGCTCACCTTAATTCTCAACACACTGATTAAACCCCAGCACCCAGGAATCTAGGGGGTCAGGGCACCCAGAAACCTGGAGGAGTCAGGGCACCCACAAATCCATAGCAATAAGGACCTAAGAAATGTCTTGCATGATCAGTCCAAAGGTATATTCTAGACTGCTGCCATTTTACCAGTAGTGAGCCATTAGATAATGGGAAGCCCCAAAGTAGGAATTGAGCATCGTAGTCTTCTCCTGCAACTGATATTTAAGAGCATACTGCCTCTGATACTAGAAATAATGTATGATCATAGTAGCCATTCTTACTCTCTTAAAGCAATCCAGAGCATCTTGTAGTAGAGAATTCTATAGTTCTAACAACCTTTTGTACAAACAAGTAGTTCCTTTCGACTGTCCTGAATCTCCCGATATTCTGCTTAATTGGATGACTCCAGGTGTTACTATTATGAGATCTACTTTCCCTCAACCATGCATAATTTTGTACAGCTCTTTTACTGTCCTCCTTTACTTGCCTTTTTTCTGAGATAAAGAGTCCCAAACACCGTAACCTTTCCTTGCAATTGAATTGCTCCAGTCCCTTGATCATTCTGGTTGCCCTTTTCTGCGACTTTTCAATATTCTTTTTGAGATGTGATGTCTGGAAGTGTACAAAGTATTCAAAATGTGTTTGCATCAAAGATTGGCATAAAAGGGCATTGTGATATTGGCAGTTTTATTTATTTGACTTTATGTTTCCTAATGATCCCCAACATGGAATTTGCCTTTTTTTCACAGCAGCCGTGAACATATTGGGTTGAGCTACACATCACAACTCAAGACCCAGAGGATCCCTTTGCAATATCGCAAAGCAATTCTGGATCCTGGGCAGGTGTGACACCCACAAACACCTGGGAGTACACCTGACCTCTTGGATCACACATAACTTTCTTGTAACCCAGGCAACAGCCAAGACATCAGGTTGTAACAGAGGAAGGATGAGAAAGGATGCGAGGCCACTTCATTTGAGCAACTTTTGGCTCCTGTTCTTGACTTTTCCCACCCCAGCTTGTCATTAGAAGAACATTTAACTATTGCATCTATATAAGGCAGATCTACACCATGCATTTAAAGCACATCCAACACACACTTAAAGCACATGGTTTCCCCCAAAGGAATCCTGGGAACTGTAGTTCAAGGCAGCTAGGAACTGTATCTCCATGAACGAAAAACTAAAGTTCTCAGGATTCTTATTTCCCCGGAAGGGGGGGGGGAGTCATATGCTTTAACTGTGCATTTGATGTGCACATTTGAACAGATTTCTTATAACTGCCAACTTTGTGTGGACATTTGCATAGCACATACCGCTTAATATGTTTACATTAAGATGGACATATTGATGACTGCCTTTTTAATGTGAACGGATGGTTTTTTTCTGCTTTTCTCTCACCGCTATTTTTATATTTTTCCTTGGTTTTGGTTTTCTTTCTGTTTTGGCAAACTTTGTTATTATACATATAAACAAATACTAACAGCACTTGTAACTAAGACCTTGCACTTGGCTTCGCTTATTTCCTCCTCCCTTCCAACCTACTGTATTTGCCTTTCGCGTGGCGTCTTTTAAGATTGTAAGCTTCCCGGCAGATCCGTGGGCTGCTCTGAAAACATTTTTGGGCTGATGGGAGGGATAAAAAACAAAAAACCACGACCAAATGCAACCTGCTCCTATAATCCGATGGGCCTGTTGAGCGACAAATCCCCTTGCTTGAACGCTGCCGGTGCCAAGAGGTCGCAAAAATAAAATAAAAATAAAAATAAAAAAATCCACAGAAAGGAATAACAACAACACGGACCTCCTCTACAGGATAATACAAGATGTGAAACATTTAGGCATTGTTACGTGATGGCTAAATGCCCCTTCGCGCCACCGGCCGAGCAGGGAGGAAGCACATGTGTTCCCTAAGGGATCTTGTGGACCGATCCCTTCGGACCTTCTTGGCTTCGGGGTCCCTCGCTCCCTTTGGCCGCCGTCCTCCCCGCCCCCCGGGCGAGCGCCTGTCTCTCCCCGGGGAATGGCATCCACACGGCGCGCATTCCTGAGCCGGCGGAGGGGCTGCTGGGACTTGTTTTGGCTCAGAGGGCGAATTCCTCCATTCAAACGCCAGTGTGCAAATCTGCCCTTGCCTGCCCATAGCCCGGCCCCCTTTCCGGCCCGGGACCAGGCTGGTGACTGCTGACTGCTCCCGCCAGGTGTGCGTGTGTGTGCAAGGGATGAGTAGGCGAGAGCATGCAGGGGCGAGAGGCGGGCCGGGTGCGGGGCTAAGACTGAAGAAGGCGAGGAGGGAGGCAAAGGGCGCGCGCGGAGCGGGGAAAGTGGACCAACTCCCCCGGCTGCTCCTTCCGGCTCGGGAGTTTGCTCCTTGGGATGCCCGATTCCTTGTGGAATTAATGAGCCGCTCAGCTCAGAGGCTCAAGGTGATAGTCCTCATGGTGTACAGAGGAAGCTGGTGAATGACTGTGCGAGGCCGGGCTTGCAGGTACACTTTGTGTGTGATACCCAGGAATGTTTCCTGAGACCCTTATTGTGAGTGTGTGTGGCTGATGGTCCCAAGTCCTACTGCAAAGTATCCTACATGTAAGTATGTAAAAAGGAAATATTCGCGTTTCTTTCCTTCCTTTTCAACCCTGCCACTTGTTTCCCTCCGTTGCCCCCCCCCCCGCCTGTTTCTAGATTGTAAACCCCTGGGAACAGAGAAACGGCTTTTGTATTTATTTTTGCTAACACCCTTGCATAGAGATAGTGTTATTTAAGTAATTGTGTGTGTAGTTATAGATCTACAGTGATGTGAGTGGTATTTAATTTCTGCAGTGAGGCCCAAGATTGCTTGGAATGGCACTCCCCTTGCCCTGAGAGCTTGAACTCTCTGCACCTTCCTCAATATCCGTGCTAGTAGTATATGCGTGGGAAGCCACCTGTAATTGATTTTTGTGAAGGAGGAGCATGTCTGCACATGGTCAGATGTATGCTCATTTTAAATTCTCCCAGTGCTGGATCTAGGCTGCACACACATTGCCAGCTTAAAATGCAGCTAGGTTGTTCTTTTTTTCTCAGTTTGGATCAAAGTCAGTTTGGAACGAAAGGCATCAAAATGCCGTGTGTCATAAGAAATGACAGGATACAGACAGAATAGATATGGATTGTGGCTAATGTTGTGCATACACTGCTTTTCAAAACCAGCCATGGGAGTGCACTGGATGCAAAACAAGAGGGGTGTGTGTAGAGCCCTAAATTGTGCAGCAAGTCCTATAGACCCCTGGCTTAAATTAAGATCTCTTGAATCCCGTAAACTGTTTTTGCCACCTCAGATCCCTCCAATAGCCCACGTTGAGCTGCATCTGGCCATCCTGAATATTTGATCAGTGGCATTATTTAAGGAGGCGGTGAAAAGTGAAAATCACTGTGCCACTTTCAAAACAGTTTTTTCCCTCCCTTTGATCGACTCAGAGATTTGTGGTGGGCTGGCAGCAATTCTACTGTGTGTACTTTGGACACACAGGAATCTCAGGGAGAGAGATGCGTGAGGACTGAGCAAGAGACAAAGGGAGGGGGGAGCCTGCATGTGTGGAGAAGAAAAGAACCATTCTTCATGCCATTAAGAATTAGTTAATGAAACAGAAGGGAAGGACCTTGCTGTAGAAAATAACACAGGCTTTTGTTGTTCTGTTGCCAGCTGTACTTAGGATAATCCAACCTTCCCGGAAAGTGAGATGGCCCATGGATGCATATCATAACTAAAAGGGGGATATCAGAAGCGGTCGCCAAAGTTGAAGTTTTTATCCTGGGCTGGTGCTACCTGTGATTCTTCAGCATGACGGGTAAGTCAGTAGAGGTGCAACGGTCTGCAGAGCTGATTGGCTTATTTTGAGATTGAAGTTGTTCTATATGGAAGTTGTGTATGTGTGGCTCAGAGAGACGTCCCTCGTCTCCCTTCCTCTCTTAAATATATAACCCCATAAGTCACTTGGGATTTATGGCAGAGAAGCCACTGTAGGAAATACTTGCCCTGGGGGGGAAGAGGCAAGACCTGAGACTGATGACTCAGCAGGTCATTTGTGTGTCTGAGATTGATGACTCATCCTTGGAATGGCCCTGCCCTGCTTAATCAGCCGGGATGGGGAGAAACAGAGCTACACTTATTCGCATTTAGTTCAAGGAGGGATGGGATTCCCCCCTTTTACTGTCACAGGCAAACTGTAGTTTGTCAGCTTTCTTTAGCTTCAAAGGGAAGCTTTGGTGCTCAATAGCTGCCAGCCTATTGTGCAGCTATTAATACCACAGAATGTGTGTCTAGGATCAGTCAGTGCCATCTCTTTAGCTTATCTTTATCAACCGCCAATGGGCTTATTGAGATGTTAGAACAAAGGAGTGAATGCTGACCTTAATGAATGAATGTATAAAGTTGTATTGCTCAGAACATTGTTCCATAACAAGACCCTCCTGAATCAGACCAAGAACCTTTCGGGTCCAGCATCCTGTTTTCCACAGTGCCTCATCTGGCGCTTAAAAGATTGCAGTATTGACAATACAGTACCTTGAATTCTTCATGGTGAAATACTCAATGCTCCTGTCTTGTGTTTGTGTGAATGCGGCCTAGAATTCTCCCCACCAGTCGCTGTTCACCCCGCCCCGCCCCAAATCCACTATCCCTGTTTTGTCTAGATACAGTCATACCTGATGTTATGTTTGCTTCATGTTACGTTTTTTCCGGTTGCATCCCACGGTGACCCGGAAGTACCGGAAAGGGTTACTTCTGGGTTTCGCCACTTGCGTATACGCACAAGCACTAAATCGCGCTTCGCGCATGCGCACAAGTGCCAAATTGTGCTGTGCACCTGCACAGATACGGTGCTTCAGGTTGAGGGCTTCTTATGTTGTGAACGGGCCTCTGGAATGGATCCTATTCACACCAGAGGTACCACTGTATTCAGTAATATTGTCTGCAGGGCCAGCCCTACCGTTAGGCGGAGAGAGGAGCATAGGAAGTTGCCTTTATATTGAGTTGAGTCACCTGGCTCAGTGTTGTTTACACACTGACTACATGCTGCTGTCTGGGATTTCAGACAGCGAACATTCCCAGCACAAACTGGTGACACCGGAGATTGAACCTGAGGCTTTCTGCATGCAAAGCAGATGCTGTACAAAAAAAGCTATATAGTCCATCCTCTCTGAGCTCTGGCTTTCCTGCTGCCTTAGTCAGCGAAACTTGGGGTGCGTCCCCAGTCAGCAGTGGAAACCACCCAGTCTGCTTCTCCTGTGGACGGCGCTGTATGTTTCACATGCTTTGCTTGCCACCCCTAAGCTATCCTGCTGCCCTCTGGTGCTACAGAAGATGCTGTCCCATCACCAGTGTTGAAGTATGATTCAGATGCCTGTCCAATTGGCTCTGATCATGGGATATAAAAGGGGACACCATCTTGTGCTTCACCTCAGGAAACAAAATGTCATGGACTAGCCCTCATTGTAAGAAGACTGCAGATCTAGCTGTAATGCTGAATATAAATTCCTTTCACAATCATTTCCTCTTTCCTGGGAACCATAATAAAAATAGGAATAAATTACTTGTACTCCACCCATCTGACTGGGTTGCCCCAGCCCCTCTTCACGGCTTCCAACATAATATAAAAACACAGTGAGATATCAAAATTTTAAAACTTCCCAATACATTCCCGCCTTCAGGTGTCTTCGGAAAGTCGTTTGTTTGTTCATTTCTTTGACTTCTGATGGGAGAGTGATCCACAGGGCGGGTGCCACTACCGAGAAGGCCCTCTGCCTGGTTCCCTGTAACTTTACTTCTTGCAACAAGAGAAATGCCAGAAGGCTCTTGGAGCTGGATCTCAGTGTCCGAGCTGAACTCAGGGGGTGGAGACACTCTTAGGAATTGCAGAGTACTAGTAGTGGCAGCAGCGAAGACATTTCTTAACAAAATTCTCAGTAGCTCAATCCCTTGATCCTCGGAGGAAACTGTGACAATTAAAAGTTATATAAAACCAATATTAAGTTTGCAAACAGGTCAGCTAGGACTTCTGAGTCAAACAAAAAGTTGTGTAAAAGTTCCCTTTTAAGTTGCTTAAGGAATTCAGCCCTGTTCATGACTTGGAGCCTACTGGGTACCATATGTCCATTTTATTTATTTATAAAAATATTCATATACAGTGGTACCTTGGTTTATGAACTTAATCTGTTTGGAAGTCCGTTCTTAAACCGAAACCATTCTTAAACCAAGGTGCACTTTCCCTAATGAGGCCTCCCACCACCGGTGCCCTTCCACCATTCGGATTCCGTTCTTAGACTGAGGTAAAGTTCGCAAACCGGGACACTACTTCCAGTTTTGCGACGTTTGTAAACCGAATCGTTCGTAAACAGGGCTGTTTTTAAACTGAGGTACCACTGTACAGTGGTACCTTGGGTTACATACACTTCAGGTTACATACGCTTCAGGTTACAGACTCCACTAACCCAGAAATAGTGCTTCAGGTTAAGAACTTTGCTTCAGGATGAGAACAGAAATCGTGCTCCGGCGGCACGGCGGCAGCAGGAGGCCCCATTAGCTAAAATGGTGCTCCATGTTAAGAACAGTTTCAGGTTAAGAACGGTCCTCCGGAATGAATTAAGTACTTAACCCAAGGTACCACTGTACCTCTATAGCATAAAAATATCAAAGACCTTTACAGCAATATCAATATATATTAAAGAACCACATTAAAAATTGTAATTGGAGACCATCAGTTTCCAGTTATGGGAAGGTGCTTTTCTGATTGTTTGCATAAGCCTGGTGGCATCAAAAAGTTTTCAGGAGGCATTTAAAGATTTAAACAGAAGGTGGCTGCTGGATCCCTATGGGCAGAGCATTCCTCAGGATTGGACTGATAACACTAAAGGCTTGGTTTCTTGTTCTTGCAGACAACACTGGTGTTTGCTGAAAGAGGTTTCCGTGGGAAAGCAAACATTTGACTCTGGGGCTCTGCATTACGTATTTGTTCTAATCTTCAATTTCTTCGAAAAGGCAGGGGAAATGGAGCTCCAGGGAGCTGCAGGTCAGGTTCAGGCCTGCTGTTATGAGCAATGTTGATACTGGGCTGCTTTGGAGGCCCTGAGGTTGGGGATTTGCTCCTGTTTGATGGCGTGATGGCAGTTTTGTTCCCCGGAGACTGCTGACTTTGCCCATGTAAAGATTGCCATTTTTGAGCTTTGGAGGGAGGGAGTGGAGGCAACATTTTCTGCTTTATGGGAAGGTGTTTTGTGTGTGTCCGTATTACCAAACAGTTGGGGATGTCTATTTGTCGTCGAGCAATCAGATTTATCAGCTTGGTTCCTTTCAGGGGCCTTTAAGTGCTCTCACATTCCTGCTGGTTTGGCTTGGTGGGAACAGGGCACCACTCCGGTTTGCCTTAAGGTGGGCAGCTGCCAGAGAAGGCGAGGCTCCTGCTTCTTCTGCACAAGGTCCACTTTTGTGAATGCCAGCTGCTTGGAGTCACACCTGGGGAGGAGAGTGTTCATGCAATCAGGTCTGACATCCCATAAGCATCAGGGTGCGGCCTCTGTGAGAGCGGGATGCTGGACCAGGTGGGCCATTGGCCCTGATCCAGCAGGGCTCTCCTTATGGTCTCAGCATGTTTTTATCTGTTACGTAGCATTATCAATACACATGGTGGTTTACAGACTAAAATTGAGACACCTGCTTTGAAAAAGTTAAATTTCTGTAAGGGTGCAGAGGAGGAAGAGCAGGGTGTCCTTTTAGTAATTAAATGTCAATGCATGGCAAAAAGGGGAAAAATATGAAATGCATCAGCACCTGAAGAGAATAAACAAGGCTACACTAATCTATTTATGTCAGGCATGTCCAAAGTCCGTTTTGGGGGTCTAATCCGGCCCACTGGTCGGTTTCATCCATCCCCTGTGGCAGTTTATTTCCTGGGGTAAAATTTCCAAAAAAGCTCAGCAACTTTGGTTGGCCCTCACGCATGTTCGATTCATCAAATCTGGCCCTCTTTAAAAAAAGTTTGGGCACCCCTGATTTATATAGATACAAATTTAATAATCATTTACTATAATTTCATGGAGTCATGTTGAGTTGGAAGGGACCACGGGGGTTATTTAGTCCAGTTCCCTGCAATTCAGGGATCTTTTTCCCAACATGGGGCTCAAACCCACAACCCTGGGGTTAAAAGTCTCATGCTCTACTGACTGAGCTATACATCTCGCCATAGTGAGGAAGATTGTAGCCAGGTGTCCTGTGTGCCTGGTTGGTCTGCCACTCAGGTGTTCCCTGTTGCTGATGGGCAATTTCAAGGCCCTGCTCTCCCTTATAATTCATTGTTTTCCCACTGGACTTGTCCTCTGATCGCCCGTCAGATAGAGGATTGTCTTTTGGAAATTAGGGCAGATGGCCACCGTAGGTAATAGTAACAAAGAGGAAAGGGAGCAAATGCAGTTCTTTCTATTTAGTTCTCAGGTGAGAACAAAAATGAGAACAAAAGGGTTAACCCAGCTTTCCCTCAGCCTGATCCCTCCAGATGTTTTGGACACATAACACAATGGGAGTTTTTGGCTCTATGGCACCAGGTTGGAGATGGTCACCTTCTTTGTGGGCTTTGAGAAGGTACTTGAAAGATGCTAAAGAGGAGACATTGTAAAGGCCTTTTGGCAGGGAGATTATCTCTGTTGCTTCTGGGCGACTTCCAGACCATCAATAGTGTGTAGGAGGAAATCAGTCAGATGCTGGAAATTTAGGTTTTTGTAATTAAAGTGGTGCAACAAATCTACTTAAAAACAAATAAAAAACCCAGATGTCTTGCAATTAGGAACTGATGAGAAAAAACACTAAGAAGTGTGAGTTAAATGATTCCAAGGAAGTCAGGATGAATACTCACTGTGGTATAACCACCCCACAAACATTTCGGACCTCATGCTCAATAAACAGCAAGCAAGTTGGGATGAATGCTGAATAAACTGGTTTGTCTGGAGGAGCACCTGGTCACTACAGCAGCAGCAGCAACAGCTTTGTTGTTTCTTCCTTTGGGTTTGGTTTTGCAGTCAAAGGGTGCTTGCAGGCTGTCACAATTTTCAGGTGAGATTCAGTCCACATACCAGCAAATTCAGGTTGTGTGGTTGTGGTTGGCCAAGAGGTCTCGTACAACAAACCTGCTTCTGCAAAAGGCTAGACTTTTTTTTCCAGTAAGGAAGGAGATGAGTGAATGCTCTGGAAACCATGGAATATTTGCTTTGATGCAGCGTCATCTAACCTCTGTGCTAGCAAGTCACAATGAATGCTTGGTAAATTGGCTGCCTGGAAGCACCCCAAGAACTGGTGTCAAGTCCAATGCCAATTCCTTCATTATCCATGCAGTGTAGCCCATACTTTTTCTATGTCGCATACATAAGAGCACATCGCTGCGCTCCCTGTAAATGGAATGAGAACAACAAACAGACATGTGCCTCCATGTTGTCCTAAGGCTGGCATTCTCCATTCACCCAGGAGAGGTGGGAAATAGCCATGCTGATTGTGAGTATGGAAGACTGGCTGAAAGCTCATCAAGGCGAAACGAGTTCATTTTTTTTAAAAAAATATTTTTATTAAGCAATTTCAACATAACAAATTATCAAACCATATAATCACACAGATTATTTCCCCCCCTTTTTCCCCACCTCCCTTCCATCCCTCCTGCCCCCCACCAGGGACTTCCCTCAGCTCCTCTCTCTGATTTTTCTCTGCATGTTATAAAATTATACATATCCTTGCGTTGTCTATCTATCATGTTATCAACCAATAAATTTGTGTATGTTTATTCAAAACATGCCAAGGAGTCCAGTTCATTTTGTTGTCTTTTTAGATAATTTGTAAAAAGTTCCCATTCTTCCTTAAAGTCGCAGTTGTCCTTGTCCCGCAGTTTATATGTCAATTTAGCCAGTTCTTCATAGCTCATCAATTTTTCTCGCCACTGTTCTTTCATTGAGATTTCCTCATTCTTCCATCCTTGTGCTATCAAGACTCTTGCCGCTGTTGCAGCATACATAAATAAGTTCTTTGTTTTTCTTGGCAGGTCTTGTCCTACAATCCCTAACAAAAATGCTTCTGGTTTTTTTTACAAATGTCATTTTAAACATTTTTTTCAATTCATTGTATATCATTTCCCAATTTTTTTTAACTTCTCTACATTCCCTCCACATATGGTAAAAAGTCCCCTCTTTTTCTTTACATTTCCAACATATGTTTGACGAAACGAGTTCAAATTTAATGACCTAGTCTGTGAACCCCTAGGGCCTAAGGAGATAGTAAACGAAAGCCTCTCGGAGGCAGGAGAGGAAGAAGATGCATTGTGGGAAAAGATTGAGAGTGTCCGGCACAAGCTGACCCGCTCTCTGAACCCAGCCAAACTGACTCCATACCTCCGCCAGTGCCGTGTGATTGATGAGCAGGATGAAGAGATGGTGCTGAGTCCCCATCAGTTTCCATGCAAGAGCAACCGGACAGGTGAGAGAAGTGAAGAACTCACATGGAAAGTACAGCGCTGGGGGTGAAGGCTTGCTTTGTATAAAGCAGTCCTGGCCCAAAGCCCTAATCCAGGAATGGATCCCAGACACATGTCGCTACGGTCCTGGCTTATTGCTTTTATTTATCATGGCTTCACATTGCATTTTAATATGAAAAGAGCTTCTCTCTCTCCCTTTCCTTCTCCCCCTCACTCTGCCTTACCCACACAACAATCACTATGATTTATGCTCTTGTTGTTCCCATTTTACAAAATGGGGCTTAAGATTCACGCAGGGAGACGGAGACTGAAATGAAATTGGGCTCAAGCCTTCCGGATCCAGCAGCTTCTGCATGATTTTGGGACAGCGGGAGAAGGTTGGAGTAGTATCTTTGGATACTTGAAGCTGCTTGGTTTTTGGTTCGGCTCGCTGCTGATCGTGTGGCACACATTTGTTCTATTGTTATTATTTATTGTCTTCCTCTGCAGGACTCCTCATGGATATCTTGCGAAACCGAGGGAAAAGAGGCTACGAAGCATTCCTAGAATCCCTGGAGTTCTATTACCCTGAGCATTTCACCCAGCTGACGGGGAAGCAGCCAGTTCAGCGTTGCTCAATGATCCTGGGTAAGAAGTTGTGGAAGTCTCCTCCTTTGCACAGGAGGCCGACAGCTTGCTGAAGCAGGTCAGGGTCGGGTCAGTGCCTGGGAATCACATGCAGGGTGAATGGGCATGTGGTGACCAACCTAGTGCTTCCGCTGCCTTTGCCGCCACCTCTCCCTGCCCCATCCCATTCTTGACAAGCAGCAGTGGTGCCACATCTGGGAAGGCAGGGCAGGAGCAGCACCCCAACTCCCACTCTGTGACGGCCGCAAAGTGTGAAGCAGAGATGTGTGTTTGTGTACTCGCAGTGGGGTGCTTCAGTTGGACAGCATCTTCCTGGCACATGCCCAGTGTATGTTTATAAAGAAACATCTCCACATGTGGCATTGTCTGCTGCTGCAAATGCCAGCCAATGTGTGGTGAACATGTTCATCCTGTTAATGTGTGATTTGACTGCCCTTGGTTAGAAACATAGCAACCTGCTGTACACTGAGCTGGACCATTGCTCCATTTGGTCTGGTACACAATTAAAAGTGTTGGTGCTGACCTTTAAAGCCTTAAATGGCCTCGGCCTAGTATAGCTGAAGGAGTGTCTCCACCCCAATTGTTCAGCCTGGACACTGAGGTCCAGCTCCAAGGGCCTTCTGGCCGTTCCCTCCCTGCGAGAAGTGAGGTTGCAGGGAACCAGGCAGAGGGCCTTCTCGGTAGTGGCGCCCTCCCATCAGATGTCAAGGAAATAAACAACTATCTGACATTTAGAAGACATCTGAAGGCAGTCCTGTTTAGGGAAGTTTTTAATGTCTAATGTTTTATTGTGCTTTTACTATTCTGTTGGGGACCACCCAGAGTGGATGCGGAAACCCAGCCGGATGGGTGGGGTATAAATAATAAATTATTATTAATTATTATTCCTAAACTTCCCTCCACCCCGTGGTCTGCTTGCAAATTGCTGAGGATCTTGGTGGACCACTTAATGATTCTCCTGCCTGTTGCAGTAGTTGTGATGTGCTGTGACAGATGCGGCATGATTTTTAATTGCATTGTTATTGCTGCTTTTATTTCATATGTTGTATTGTATTACAGTGTGAATTCCATAAATACAACATAAAATAAAAATCCATATGGATATTAAATGACTGTGCCCGCTGTTCACATCTGCTGCTCCCCCTGTTCTTCACAGACACACCATGGGCCACCTGTATGAAGCTTACGGACCATAATTTGTGAACCCCTGGTCTACTTGATTGGTAGCCAACATGACTACCAGTCAGATGTTAACTACAACTCCCAGATGTTAACTACAACTCCCATAACCTTTGGACGTGCTGGCTGGGGCTGATGGGAGTTGTAGTTCACAACCTCTTAAGACTATCAGGTTGGCCACTGTTGATCTACACCAGTGTTTCCCAGCCTTGGGTTGCCAGCTGATTTTGGACTACAACTCCCATCCTCCCTAGCTAGCAAGACCAGTGGTCAGGAATGATGGGAACTGTAGTCCAAAAACAGCTGGAGACCCAAGGTTGGGAAATACTGATTTTTGGGCAGGAGGCTCATCCCAGTGCTACCTGCATATGCTGAACATTGACTCTGGGAATATTTTTGCAGACAAGACAGGCCCTCTGCTGCTGAGCTATGGCCCTTGAGAGTCCATGGGTTATCTGCAAAACAAGTCCTAGAGTAGACCCACTAACTAACATAGGCCCATTAATTTCAGTGGGTCTACTGTGAGTGGAAACATGGTTGGCTGTAACCCCCATGTGCCCAGTTTGCTGAGCATCCTCTTGCTTTCCAGACGAGGAGGGCCATGAAGGCCTGACTCAGTTCCTGATCATGGAGGTGAAGAAGATGAGGGCTCAGCGGAGAGGGCAGTTGGAAAAGGAACAAGGGCTCCAGGCAAAGAACCGGGCCTTGGAGGAGGAGGGCGCCCAGCTGAAGCAGCAGCTCCAGAAGCTGCAGAAGGCGCAGGAACGTTACCAGAGGTTCCAGGAGGAGTGGGACTCCCACAGCATGGAGCTGCTGAAGCTGAAGGACGACAACTACATGCTGGCCATGCGCTACACCCACCTGTGCGAGGAGAAGAACGCTGCTGTTCTCCGAAGCCGGGACCTGCAGCTGGGGGTATGGAGAGCAGGGGGAAAGAGAGAGGTGGGGACTATTGGTGAATGCATGCAGGTGTTAACAGGGCAATGGAAACAGGTGTACACACCCAAGATAAACCAAGGCCGCTTCCGTGTGCCAGGAATCACTGTTAATGATGCACTGCCTGCCTGGATGTAGGTGCTTTGGTTTCATTGGCCCCGGCCTGCCAGCCACTCCTTTATAGGGAAATTGGGGGAAGGTGTCTGAAGGCTGGCCAGCGAGTTGCTTGACTGTTGTCTCATATTTGAAGGTTTAAAAAAGTTTCCCCAGAGTAGTGCTCGAGGAAATTAGGCAAAGGAATGCAGCGATTTGGAATGAATGCCACCACCAGTGGATTCTCAGAAACACAGGAGTGTATATACAGTGGTACCTCGGGTTACAGACGCTTCAGGTTACAGATGCTTCAGGTTACAGACTCCGTTAACCCAGAAAGAGTACCTCGGGTTAAGAACTTTGCTTCAGGATGAGAACAGAAATCGCAGCGCGGTGGCATGGTGGCAGTGAGAGGCCCCATTAGCTAAAATGGTACCTCAGGTTAAGAACAGTTTCAGGTTAAGAACGGACCTCCGGAACGAATTAAGTTCTTAACCCGAGGTACCACTGTACCAGGAAAGGGAACGCCTTATATTTAGCAAATGACACTATGTTATGGGTGTGTGAACTTTCGTCATGCAGTCAGTTTTGGAGGACTGGTGTCATAACAGAATATCCAGGCTGCTGTTTTTGCATGAAGGCCAGAGCGTGCATATACTTTACGAAAAGCCCCAGGTACAAATAAAAGGTTCTGAATTATAGAGAAGTAGCTGTTTTCTCCGGCAAGTCTCATAACATGATAATTCTTAAGCTGATGTTTACTGGGGTAGGGAACTGTCTGATACCCAGTCAGATTATTTGTCAGTCTTGGACATTTTTGGGATGTAGCCCTTGCTTGCCCTACTCAGAGTAGACCCACTGACGTTGCTAAACGACTAACTCACTGATTTCTATGCGTTTACCTTGAGTATAACTGAGTTGGATACAACCCATTGTGTCTGATCTGGCTGGCAGCAGCTATCCAGGCCAAGGGTCTATCACAGGCATAGGCAAACTCGGCCCTCCAGATGTTTTGGGACTACAATTCCCATCATCCCTGACCACTGGTCCTGTTAGCTAGGGATCATGGGAGTTGTAGTCCCAAAGCATCTGGAGGGCCGAGTTTGCCTATGCCTGGTCTATCACCTCACCTGATCCTTTGAACTGGAGACACCTGGGATTGAACCTGCTTCCTTCTGCATGCAAGGCATATGTCTTACCAGGTATAGCATTTCCTGATGTTCCAAATATTCCCAGCCAGCTTTTTCTCACCTTCCAAGTCCCTCCTTGGGAGTTTTGTATTCTCTTGGGCTCCTCTCAAAGCTCTCTCTCCCCCCACTCCCCCTTCAGTTAATTTAGGCATATGTATACACCCTGTTTGCTTTCTGTCTTGTGGTTTCTCTTGTATTTGTATCCCTCCCCTCTTGTCCTCCCCTTCCTTTTATTATCTCTCCCACTTGTCCCCCTGTATGGCACGGCCACTGTGGAGTAAGCAACTGTCTGCTATTTTGCTCCGTAAAGCCCTATGCATATTGATGACGCCGTAAAAATGATTGATGGCGGCAGTCCTCGCCTTCCTTGGTTAGATCTGAGCCCTGTAGTTACTTTCACATTTGCTCCAGGAAGGCATTAATACGCAGACCATGGCTAAGGCACTTCTTAATCTTCTCTTTAGTGAACTGAAAAGGGGCTTCGTTTGTGTTTATAGCAGAGCATCTTTTCATGTAGGATGCAAGTATCAGAAAGTGAGGGGCTGCCTCTAGGGTACGTTCGTGTATGTCTGCCTTCACTTATTCGCAATGGAAGATGTATATAACATGTCATTCTTCTTGTAGATTATTTTTATTATTTCCACATTTCCCACTCTGTCCCTAAAGGTTCAGTATAGGATGCCAACAGCAATTTAAATTACGATATTTGACATTTTTTATAGTGGCTCACAGTATTCAAAATGCTTCATGTAGGTAGTGGCGCCCACCCTATGGAATGCCCTCCCATCAGATGTCAAAGAAATAAACAACTGTCTGACGTTTAGGAGACATCTGAAGGCAGCCCTGTTCAGGGAAGTTTTTAATGACTGATGTTTTAATGTATTTTTAATCTTTTGTTGGAAGCCGTCCAGAGTGGCTGGGGAAACCCAGCCAGATGGGCGTGGTATAAATAATATTTATTATTATTATTATTATTATTATTATTATTATATCAGTAATTCCCTTAAAACTCCCCAGTTGGGTAAGGTTGGTTTTATCAAATATACCATGGGTAGGGAACTGGATCAGATTGGCAGGTTGGACCCAGAATTCCTTCACCTTCCAAGGGCCACTTTGGCAGCTGGGCAGGGCTACTCACCTGTCAACCAGCTGACATGATATGATATCAGGTGTTCCAACTTTAAACCTGTAGCTTTCAAGAAGATGCTTCCTTTGCAGCCTCTTTAATTCAAGCTGCGACTGCAAAGAGCCATCCTTTGTAGCCGTGTCTTGACTTCAAGCTGTGGCTGCAAAGGAAAATCCCTGTAAGTGCACTCCTGATTCTATGTTTCTAACTGTAATTCAGTACCTTTTGAATGGGGTGTGGTGACCGAAAAAGGTTCCAGCATTTTAAAAAGCTCTGAAATCTACTGGCAGCTGCAAAACAGGACCTGAGCTGAATCAGTGGTTGTCAAATGCTGACTGTCTGGTGGGAAATAAAGAAAACCAGGTGGATTGGGGGTGGTGGTGCAGAATAAAGTGTTGAACCCTGAAGAAGAAGATGCATTTTTACACTGCAACATTTTATTGCAAGTCCCACTTGTCACCCCCATTTTACAGAAGTGGAGGCCGAGGTTGGAGAGAGGAACTTGCCCCAGGCCCTCTGCTGAGCTCATGGCAGAATGAGCCTAGCAAAACCAACCCAGATCTGCAATATCAGTATGTAGCAGCAATTAAAGAAAGCCTCATTCTTATTTGCTGTTGCTAAAACCTGTGTTCATGTGAAATGGTTTAGTGTGTGTGTGCTCACGAGAGAGATGAAAACGTCTTTATTTGCCCTTCTTGTGATTCATGGGACAGAACGTTGATCTTTTCCACATTTTTTTAATCAGATAAAGAGTTTGGTGTACTGTGGTTTAAGCATAGTACGTTTTGTGCGTGCTTGTGTGTTGTTATGCATGCAAGGCATGCTTAGGATTTCCCCCCTTGTTGCTTAGAATGTAGGTGTGTCATCTGATTGTTTTTGTGCTCCCAATCACTTCCCAGCTGATGACTCATCAGGAAATTTGTAGGTACTCCAGGTGAGATAAAAACATGAACGGACCTTTAATTGACCTTGTAAGGCTACTAAGGTTAGAAAGTGGTTGGAAGCTTAAACGGTTGGGTGATAAACCCGCATCCTAAGCAGTTTTATCATTCCAAATACCTGAAGGAGTTTATGGGGCTGCCGCTTGGTCACCTGGCTTTCACCTTGAGCAACTGACATACCTCTTTCCTCTCTCCGAGTCAGGAGAGTTTCACTATGAGCTAATCTGTTCTGATCTGATTTTACTTATCTGGAATAACTTCTTATCTGGAATAATAATAGTCTTCTGGTTCCTGGGATTCTTGCCACAGAGCTCTTGCTCACTGTTGCCCTGCGGTATTGTCTTCATCTTCATTCCTGGGTTTACCTAAACTGCTCCTCCCTGTTTACCTGTATCCTGTACTCCTTCCTGTTTATCTTGCACCACCTCTGCACTTTCTGTCACAGCACTATGGAAAACAATGTGGAATGTGGGTCTAGTGCAGAGATAGCCAATGGGGTTGTCCTCCAGTTGCCAAACTACAACTACGGTCAACCCAGCCAACTTGGAACAATGGTCATGGATGGTGGGAGTTGTAGTTCAGCAACAACCGCCGCACTGACTGCCCCATGCCGAGAGAGAGAGAGAGAATAACTTGATTGATCCTGCCTAAATTGGAGTAATTCTGTTTTCATATTAATTTCATTTACAAAGGAGCAAATGCTCTCCTGTTTTTGCAAGCCTCTTTTCCAAACAATATTACATGTTTCATAAAATTTACGCACCACTTGCTTGTTAAAAAAACCTCAAAGCAGTTTACAAAAGATAAAATCAAGAAAAATTTGCAAACCTACTTTGTCAGATCAACCCTGGTCTTCTGCTTTGCATCTGAGGCTGTCCAGGCATCTGGCAAGACTCTACTCCTCCCCCAGTTTGGGAAAGGGGAAAGACAGAGCCATTGAACATGAAAAGAAGGCTGGGGGTTGGGAACGAGGAGAAGGCCATCCTTATAGGACCCTGATTTATGGTCCAAGGCTATTAGGAATAGCCTATCAGTCCCAATTTCTATCTAATTCTTGGCATTCTTTCTTCTTAATCAGAGATATTGAGTGCATGTCCTAAAAAGAGAGGTGGTTGTTTTGACATCCTTCCCTTTTGATCTGGAAGCTCTGATCCCGGTCCCCAGAATCGTAGGATGGGTTATGGGGAGAGAAGCTCACTTTGTTCAGATTCATTTATGCTTAGTTCATCCCCTTGTCTTTATTATCACTTGATAGGTTTGAGGGTTTTAGACTGCGGCTTTATAATTTGTAATTACATCGTTTTATGTTTTCAAAGTGTTGTGAACCACTTTGAAGAAGTTAATCCTTCAAAGGCAGCTTGCCAATCAATCAATCAATCAAATCAATCAAATCAGTAAAGAAAAGAAAAGAAAAGAAAAGAAAAGAAAAGGGGATTGAGCGGCTGTGGCCTTTGTTTCCTATATTTCAGGTAGACCAGATGAAATGCAAGGTCAGCAGCCTGGAAGAAGAATGCGCCCTACTTAGGAAGCAGGCATTGACAGCTCCCCAGAGAGAAGTGGAGGATCGTGGCCTTGCTGACACTATTTGTGAGTTGCGAGCAGAGAACCAGAGACTGATAGCTTCGCTTCAGGAGCTGCAGAGCAGGCTGCAGGTACTTGCTGAAAATGTTTAATGCTAACCTGTGGAGTACTGAATTGCATCTAATGTCTCACCGCTGAAACTTGAGCTTCTCCTGGATGGTAAGAGCCAGCCTCTGCGTGCAGGAAGTTCTTCTCGGTCCAGCAATGTCTTCTCCAGTCTGACGGGGATACCTCAAAGGCAGAGCATATGGTTTGAATGTGGAAGGTCCCAGGAAAATTAAAATATGCAGCCCTGCTGGATCATCTAGTTCTCCCAGTGGCCAACCAGATGCCTGCAAGAAGCCTGCCAGCAGGACCTGAGGGCAACCTGAAGATCCAAAGGGCCTGGGACAGTTGGTATAGTTCAGGATGGGCAAAAACAGTTGCTGGACTACAGCTCCCATCATCTCTGACCTTTGGCCATGTTGGCTGTGGCTGATGGGAGCTGGAGTCTTAACAACACCTGGAGGTGGTGCAGAAGGTATATGTTTGTGGGATGCAGGCTGCTGGGAGGTCTGGTTCAAGACACCTGCCCATCACAGTGCTTTAGCCTCATCTCTGTTGCCTCTACCTCTCTCTGCTATCTAGCTAGAGGTTTGATTTTACGTGTGGCCCTCCAACAAGCGAAGGGTTGGACACCAGCAAGGCTGCCCTATTCTCATTGCTGCGGTGCCTTGCCTTTTTGTGAACCTTTGTTTTCCCCTGCCCCAAATAAACCGTTTTCAAAGCTCCTAATTTCACCTTTGTGTTGCTGGAGCTTGCACCGTCCACGATTCGTTTCGAAAGAGAAAATGTGCTGAACTGACAAATCTCCTGCAGCAAGGCTGGTCCCTGACGCTGCATCCAAGGCGACCACAATGCTTCTCATGGAGGATGGAGCTTGGTGCGCCTGTTGCTAGATCACGGCTCTAGCGCTAGTAAAATGCTAAGAGGAATAAAATCTATTTAAAAGAAAGGCGTCTAGTGTTGGCTTAGAGATGTAGGTAGAATACCAATGGGTGGTTTCAACAGCTGTGACTGTTTAGGAGATGAAAGCTGCCTGTTGATATCTGGGTTACAAAATCTTAACCCACGGATAGTATGTGAACACATTATTTTACCGTTTCCCCCTGTTTTGTTTAAAAAAAGGTATCCTGCATCACAGACCCCTTATCTCTCCACCCTAAATGCTGTTTGTACGACCTTATATCACGATACACAGCTTATTTGCAAAACCTGGAGAAAAATGTTTAAAACACATTTTCAGTTTGAGATTATTTCCAATCCCCCAGCCCCCAAAGAAGAAAGGTTTAACCAGGAGAGGACATATTTTAACTTGGGGATGTGAAAATAAATTGATTGGTGAGGAGGCAGCATCTGGATAGAATCAGTTCGTTATATAAATCTATTACATGCTCAGCAAAATGTTGATATTGCCATTTAAAACTGTGTAATTTAAACTTGGAGTGGTTTAAGAACAGGGACCATAAAGCATGAAATTATAAGGTTCTTATCTTGGAAGACGTGACCCCATCTTTCCGTGTTCCTAATGAACCGTAAAGCATTGCTTAGTTACGACATTTTGACATTACAGCTTCAATCATTCACAGTTTGGTTCTTTAGTTTGAGATGGAGGGTATATTTTCCATTCAGTATTTTGGATATCCCTACCGGCATGTTACGTGCAAACAGAGCTAACATGTGAACCAGCTGTTAGGGCACATCCACCCTGAAGACCTCCCATCATTCCTTTCCCCAGAAAACCTTGGGATTTGTAGTTCTGTGAGGGGGTGGATAGGGAGTCACCAAACTAGAATTCCCAGCATTGAGAACATAAGAAGAGCCTGCCAGATCAGGCCAGTGGCCCATCTAGGCCAGCATCCTGGCATAAAAAATGGTGTGGAGCTTGTATTGTAAGAGGCGCCTGCAGTTTGTGGTGGGGGAAATTATAAAACAAAAAAACGTATATATAGATGACATATATTCCCCAGTGGGGGATACTGAAAACAGCCACCCTGCAAGTGTTGACTGCTGTTTCTCTCTCTGTCCATCATGCTATCCCTAATTCTGCTCATCCCACCAGACAGGTGATTCTGCATTTCTGTCGCTTAGGTAGCAGGTGAAGGTCAAGTCCCAGGCTCTGAGAGGATCCTTCTAGACATTCTGGAGCACGACTGGAAGGAAGCACAAGCAGACCGGCAGGAACTGTGCCAGAAACTGGACTCTGTGCAAAATGAGCTGCAGTGGGCCGAGGAGCTGAGAGATAAGGTCAGTTGCCCCTTCCCTGGGCATCTGTTTTGGGGGAAGCTTTGATGCAGTTGTGGTCTGAATGCATTCAGTTCTTAATGTCTTAGCCAGGTTTTGCAGGGCCCTTACCAAGTTGCTCTCAAGAGTCACCGTTCTCTAAGTGGGTCGCCTCCTCGCTATGGCTCTTTTGCTTCCCCTTCTCTCTGGCCGCAGCCCAGTCTGCTTCACAGAAACAGCTGCCTGATACCAAGACAGGCCATAGCATCATCTAGCTCAGTATTGTCCATAGTGGCAGCAGCTCCGCGGGGTTTCAGACAGGGGTCTCTTTGTCAGCTGTACCAGAGATGCTTGAGATTGAACCTGGGACCGTCTGCATGCAAAGCTGATTTTCTGCCCCTGTGCCCATGGCCCTTCTTGGGCTTCACTGCCCGGAAGGAGAGGGCAAGATGAGTGGATGCTGCTGACCGCCCCTTCCTTTGCTCTTGCCGCTGCTCACTTGCTTGGAGAGGGGAAGGTGAACAAGCAGAGGTAGCCAGGAAGAAGAGGAACAGGACCGAAGTGCTGACACCGGGTATGGCTCTTGGCAGCTGCCCATCAATGCTGACTGCTGACATTGGCCCTGTTCAAAGCTACTACCACGAAGCCAGGCTCTCTATCCCATTAGCTGGTGTATGTTGAGCTGTGTGTGCTTGCAAAGAGGTGACAATAAATAATTGCACATGCATCCTTCTTTTTTTCCACTTGATGTGTTACAGATCTGGTTGCACAGGTTGCAGGTCTAAACCTGCAGCAGTTTTAAGCCCTAAATATATTCCTTGAAAATGTAACCCTCTGGATTCTCTCCCCGCCCCCCATCCCACCTCTCCAGTATCTGCAAGATAAGGAAGACCTCCAGCTGAAGCACCAAACTCTGCAGAAGAACTGTGACCTGTACAAACACAGAATGAATACCGTGCTGGCTCAGTTAGAGGAGATTGAGAAGGAAAGAGATCAGGTGAGATGCTTCTTTAAGGCAGTCTCCCCTCATGCTAGAAGCAAGGCTCTCTGATAAGAGATAGAATCCCTCTACTATCATTCTGGGTTGCTAGGTGAGGACGAGTGGTACTGATGTAGTTAGTCATGAGAATCAAGAAGCCAAAATGGAAGGAATGCTAAGAAAAGAATTTGGAAGCAGAGGAGATCAACTGGAATGGAGACCTTTTTGGTGGCTTCCTCCTCTCCTTAGTCCTATGTCACCATATAAGGCAGTGGCTGAAAAGCTCATCACTACATTGGGCCACAGTGGAGAGAACCTGTGGCCCACCTGTTGTTGAACTCCAGCTCCTATCATTCTTGACTATTGGCCATGCTGGTTGTGGCTGATGGGAATTGGGAGTCCACCGGTATCTGGAGGGCAGCAGTGTCCAGTGAGAAGGTGCTCCCATTAGAAGCCGTCATGCGGAGGACCCCCCCCCACTCTATTCCTGAAGCTGCAGGGAGTTGAGGATTGGTATCCTACCAGCCAAGTATGAGCCTTGCCATACCTGTCTGCGATTTGTAGTCCGTAAGTGTGGGATATGATACTGAGCTCCAGAGCTCAGCATCTGGGGAAACCCAAAATTTCTCCAGAAAGCAGGCTCTCTAGTCCTTAAGACACCAATGCATACAGATGGCACCTGGTTGGCAGAAGAGGACCTTGCAGTAGCCAAGGGTGGGGCATTATTGTTCTTGGTAACTCCTTGTCCCTGTCCCCTGGCTATGGAAAGCAGAATCGATAAGCTGTGCAAGATAAACAGAGGCATGCAAAGTTGCTTAATTTGTATACTCCATTACAGTATACAAAAAACAAAATCAGAAGAAAGTGTCTGTCTGTGTGTAATCCCACCTTCCCAAGGTATGTCAACCACCCCCCACCAGGAATGTGTTTTGTTTCAGGCAATCCAGAGCCGAGATGGCGTTCAGCTGCAATACTCCCAAATCCTCATTGAGAAGGACCAGTACCGCAAGCGTGTCCGGGCCTTGGAGGAAGAGAGGGACGAGCTGCTGGGCAGACTCACAGAGGCCGAGGGCAAGATTGGCACCCTTGAAGCTCAGGTGCAGCGATGCCATTGCACCAGGGGCCTAGGCAAGAAGGTGCGTTTTGAAAAGAGGAGAAAGCTTTTGGGCAGAAAGGAAGGGGAGAAGGTGGATATTTTGGAAGGTGGGAAGGCGCGGCAGCTTAGACTTGAGTGGAATAAAGTTAGGAGGGAAGGACAGAATTCCTTGCACGTTAAGGGGATGGGCTGAAGGTAAACTAGCAGCCGAGAATTTATCAAGCTCTTGGTTTGTTACTTAAGCCCTCAACTGCAAACTTGCAGTTTTATCAGCTGTCCATCTTCAAATTCAAGTGGGTCTTTCCCGCTTTTCTTCTTATGGAGCTTGAGCTGGCAGGCCTGGGTTTCCAAGGTGATCACCCATCCAGGCCCTCACTCGAGCCACACCTGCTTTGCTTCAGCAAGGTAGCTGGATCATGCGCCTTCATGCCACAACCTGGGAGGGACCCTGCTGTGTTGTGAAGCACATGTCATAATAAAGTAGGCCATGAGTATCTGCCGTGTACATCCGTAGTGGAAGCTTTCCTACCATTCAGTAACAGAATAGCTCTGGTTGCAGCTCCACCTGCCCAAGATAGACAAACAATAGCTCAAGCGTGTTGAAGATGGTGTGATTTCAGGGAGCCTCATTACCTGTCGTATGCACATATATTTTTGAACCATGCAAGCCTGTGTGTGTTCACTCAGAAGTAAGCCCAATTGTTTTCATTAGGGCTTACTGCCAAGTAAGTGAGCATAGGAGTGCAGCCTGTGTGTTGGTTAATTTCAGTTGTGCAGTCTTGTGGTGCAGTTAACCTTTGAAGTGGCTCGTGGTCAGAGGTGTTGTGGCCTCTCCTCTGTGCCCCCTAGAATCACTGCAGGAGGTGCAGCTTGGAGAGGGCAGCTTCTTGGCAAGTTTCAACAGTGCCACCTCTCTCGTTGAGGAGCTGACCCCTGAGACGTCTTTTGTTTTTCCACCCTGCAGATGTGTTCCTCCTCCCATTCACTTTGCTCCATCCTAAGCAGCACTTGGAGCATGGTAGAGAAGCCTCCATCGCTGGAGGGTGGAGTGGTTGATACGCCAGGCGTCTTGGATGTCGTCTTCCCTGATGACTGTATAAGCCAGAACGGGGTAAGAGAGGGGTTGGATAAAGCCAGAATGTAGTAGAACTCATGCCTTACATGTAAACGTTTCGCAGATTCAATCTCTGGCATCTCCAGTTTAAAAGAATCAAGTAATCTAGGGACGCGGGTGGCGCTGTGGGTTAAACCACAGAGCCTAGGATTTGCAGATCAGAAGGTTGGCAGTTCGAATCCCCGCGAAGGGGTGAGCTCCCGTTACTTGGTCCCTGCTCCTGCCAGCCTAGCAGTTCGAAAGCACGTCAAAGTGCAAGTAGATAAATAGGTACCGCTCCGGCGGGAAGGTAAACGGCGTTTCCATGCGCTGCTCTGGTTTGCCAGAAGTGGCTTAGTCATGCTGGCCACATGACCTGGAAGCTGTATGTTGGCTCCCTCGGCCAATAAAGCGCCACAATCCCAGAGTCGACCACGATTGGATCTAATGGTCAGGGGTCCCTTTACCTTTACCTTTAATCTTGGTAGGGCTGGACAATATATCAATACATCATCCAAAACCTGTTTGAAAGTCCATATTGTGATAATCGGTTTCATCATTTTTGACCTGGCAATATATTTTGAATCATGATGTGTATGTGTGCTATGCAAAAATTACAATGTGAGGAAAACCGTGAAGCCAGCCAAAGCTTCTCTCAGTTCCTGCAGCTCCTTTAACTCAGCCAGCTCAGCTCTCCTCCGCCTCCTGCAGGGGCCAGCGAATCACAAGAGCAGGTGCTGGCAAAAATCACTATGCGGTGGAAAACGTGAAGCTAACCAGTGCCTCCACATAACTCCATCCTCATTTCAGACATTGTGATATATTGGTATATAATTGATAATATCACGATGTCGAAAACCAGATATTGCCCAGCCCTAAGTCCTGGTGGGAAAGACCCCTCCCTGGGACCCCAGAGAGCTGTGGGCAGTCAGAGGAGACAACGCAGTCCTAGCTGGGCCAATGATCTGACTAGGAATGAGGCAATTTTCCTCTGTTCCTAAGAGTTTAGGCAGCTGTTTCACTGTTTTGCAGAGCAGTGGGTGTGGATGTAACCTTTGTACGCTAGGCTAGTTTCTGCACACTCCCTTGTTTATCCAGAGTTCAAGAACATATTCCAGTCAGGCTGAAAAACACTAAATGAGAGTGTGAAGCAGCAGCTGGGAAGTTTATACAGTCTAAGAAGAGTCTCAAGGGCCAGGCAAGTAGGCTTGGAGGGCTGCATTTGGCCCCTGGGCCTGAGGTTCCCTGCCCTGCTAGAACTCCTGCATTGCAGGGGGTTGGACTAGATGATCCTTGGGGTCCCTTCCAGCTCTACAATTCTATGATTCAAACTCTTCAACCCACGACCCAATTGGTGGCGCAACTCTGCCCTTCATGCTGCCTGTTGTAACATGCACCCCCACCATCCAACCCCCCACATAGGCTTTCTCCTCATATACAAACTTATACAGTGGATGCTCAGGTTGCGAATGTGATCCGTGCGGGATGCACGTTCGCAACTCGCGTCTGCGCACGTGCGGGTTGCGATTTGGCGCTTCTGCACATGCACGACCACTGAAACTTGGAAGTAACCCTTTCCGGTACTTCCGGGTTTCGGCAGTCCGCAACCCAAAAAAACGCAACCTGAAGCGGCTGTAACCCGAGGTATGACTGTACACACACTTGATTTACAGTTTACTAGGTTTTAATCTCGCTGATGAACAGTGAGACAAGGAAGTTTGTGGTGCGTGTGGCGTTTTGGCTTTCAGGTCTTTTCTTCTCTCTCCTTAGGAAGTGACTCCAGAACGCGAGAGAGAAATAAACCGCCTTTCCATCTTCCCCTTCCCCCCCTGCACTGGCTCCATTCTTCGGAGGCAGCGTGAGGACGGACCGACCCCCATCAAGAGGTGACACTTGGAATCCCAGCGCAATGGCACTCTCTCTTACATGTTGGTGTCTTCAGCCTCAGGCAAAGCCTCAAGGGATTTTTTTAAAGCATTGAACTTGAATGCTTTAAAATCCCAGTTCTTCCCCTTCTCCAAGTCTCCAGCTTCTTAAGGGGGGGGGGGAGAAGGAGGGAGGTAGAATCTGTGTAGGAGGGCAGGAGAGTAGGGCCTTTCTTTGGATGTGATGATGCTCTTTTCATAGTTTCCCATCACGGATCCCAGGCTCTTATCCCTTTTCTGCTCTCCCACTGTCCTGTTTCCTGGACATAAAGCTTTTTTAAAAGGTGGGGCTGTCATGGAGAGCAAGGAGGCAGTGAAGGGGGGGGGAAGAAACCCCATTTTGAGTTGAGTGCAGCTTGAAAAGGGCTGGATCTGACTCCAAATGCAGCCAGCCTTCTTTGAGCAGGAGAAGATTCCCTTTCAAACTTCCCCCTCCCCATGTCTACATGGGACAGGAGCCGACAGGCAGGTAGAAAGAAAAAGAAAGAAAAAGGGACTCCGTGGGCAGGACCTGAGACCTCGTGGTCTGTGCATGCTGTAGGATGCAAGGGGGTGGCAGGCAGCAAATGTGGAGGACCTAAGAGGTTTTCATTGCAGCTAGGGAGATACGGGTGCACCAGTTATAGTAGATCGCAGGGATAAATGCAAGGGAGGAAAGGTGGGGTGAATTCAATATGCCCTCTCCGGAGAAAGTGGGGTATTTTTTTGGGTAGGACCAGATGATTGTGTGCAGGAGGATGGATGAGCAGCTGTCGTTTATGAGAAGGGATGCAAAAGCTGGCTCTAGGGCTGCATCTATGAGCATCTCTGCAATGATAAGCCCTGGAAGTGGCTTGATTGTGCTGCAGGCAGTCCCACCTAATGTAGCTAAGCCTGTTTTGTCCTCAGCTAGTATTTGGGACGGCTGACTGTTCAGGAACCTCATGCAAACCACCCTGAGCTGTTTGGAGACAGGGAAGGATCCAAATGCAACAAAAGACATCAAGAGAACACTGGAGAAAGGTGGAGGGATGGTTTTGATGTTTGTATGCTTTTCAATTAATCCCTTCTGTGTTTCCTTTGTACTTTTAGTTGGTCCTGTGGGTCCTTTGGCAGCTTGGAAGACTTAACAGGTATTGCCAATCCTTCTCCTGCCCCCACCCCCTGCGTTACAGAGCCTCTCTTCTTGAGAGCTGTGGGCTCCCCCTGCCAAATCAGCTGCTTGCCCGTGTGCCCACGAGGGGGCACCCTTGCCCCACACTTCCCCTGCCAGCTCTTGGGAGCCACCTCCAGGGTCTCGCCAGCACATCGTTCTGAGGCTATTCCGGTCTGGTGTGTTTAATTTACAGCGGGTTTTTGTCTGACAGTGAATTTGATTCAGTTTCAGAGGAGTGGGAACCGGAAGAGATAAATGCTTCAGCTTCAGGCTGTTATCGGTTCTTGGTGACAGGCTGTAAATCTCCCAACGCCTGTCCCACTGTATATCTCAGGCCTTGGCTAGATTGTGGAGTTTTCTACCAACGCCACTCCTTGGGGCAATTGGCCCGTGTGCAAGTAGTGTCTGGCTTCTGCAGTCGGAGGCTTTGGAAAGTGGAGAGATTTGCCCAGAGTCCACTCCAACATACTTGGGGAATCCACTCCTGGATTTGCCCTGCTCCCTCCTTTTATGGGCATTTGAAGAATCCAATCTAGGTATCGGTAGAGTACAGCTGACCATCCTTTCACCTGCCTGCCACTCTGCTTGATACACTGTTCTCCAGAACTTATATACTGAGGGGTCTCTTCTGAGATTACTCTAGCTCAGGTGTGTGTTTGTGGGGGGACCTTTTTTCAGCCCAAGAACTGCATGAAGGAAGAGGCACAGGACCAGAGGCAGAGCACTGAATGTAGGTTAACATTCACAACACACAAAAGCCAGAGGTTCCCCCACACACCCAGTTCTCCATTCAGGCAAGCTTGGATACATAACCACAGTTTGGGGACACATTCCAGCCAGGCGAAAGGAGGGTGTGCAACAGGGCCACTTAGGGGGCGTGGCTTGCAAAGGAGGTGTGGCCTAGGAAGAGTCCTGAGGGTCAGAGAGGGAGGCATGCCGCCCCTATCCTGAGCTTTCACTGCCCTTACTCCAGCTGTCTGGGATTTGCTTTTCTCCGCAGCTGTCGGTTGCGCAACTGAGCTGGTGTTAAGTGACCTAATAACTTTGTTGAGGGCGGGGTTGTGTGAATCCTAACCTACATGGCCAGCTGCCCATGTAGCTGGATCATTTAAATGCAGTTCTGGAGCTTGGGGTTTCCCCGGCCCAATGACTTCAATGCCTTTCAGATGAAAGGTGCTTATGAATCCTTGCATGTTGCCCATGGTAACTTCTTGTTGTTCTGTCTGTCTGTCTCTCTCTCTCTCTCTCTCAGGAAGTGCCATCAACACTCCTTCATCTGCCAGATCCCGTTCCTCTTCCAGCAGTGCCTACACCAGGGCAAAGTCAGAAATCTGCTTGTCTGGAAGCTCTGTCAAGCAGGACTTCTCCAGGAGGTCTGTTTCCCTTTCTCAAACAAACACTCCTGCCTCCCTGATGGTTTGGAGAGGCAGCCCTATGAATGCAGGCATCCTAGGTGGGGCAGCCACGCTGGGTAACTCTGTGAGGTCTGTGCCTGCAGTTGAATGGCATCCGTTTCCAGGGCTTATCTCCCCTCCCTGCTACTGGGTCCTGCAACCATTGCTGCTGCTTCCACCGCTTCACCTGGTTGTGAAGATAGGAACACGTAAAGCTGCCTTTTATAGACTTGTTGGTCCATCTACTCCATCAATGCCTGCTCTGACTGGCAGCAGCTCTCCAAGTTCTAACCAAGGTCCCTCTAGTCCAGCAACCTGTTCTCAACCAGAAGCTGTGGTTCTTCCAAAGGTTGTTGGACTCCCAATTCCAATGAATGGCCAGTAAGACAGAGATTATGGGATTTGTAGTCCAAGCAACATCTAGAGGGCCACAGGTCCATCCCGGCCGCATATCCTGCTCATCGAAACAGAGAATGAGATGTACCAGAGTCTAAATCCATGCTGTCTTCCTTCCCCATTCAGGTCTGTTGTGGTGCACCTGCCTCACACGGGGCCCATGGCTGTCCCAGCGCCCCAGAGCAGCAGACTGGCTGGGGACATCTCCATCCTTGGAGGAAACACAACTGGGATTTATGTCCAGTGGGTGAGGCCAGGCTCAGAAGCAGAGTGCCTGGGGCTCAGAGAGGGATGCCGACTCCTCGAGGTATGAATGAATGTTTGGAATTGCAGATAATGTCGGAGTGGGAAGAGTTACAAGGAAGTGGAATGGGTGGGTGGGTGGGGGACTGCAGTCATAAACCAAAAGGTGACTCCCCTTGTTTGTTTCTCGGTTAGCCAGATATACAAGGCAGAATGACACCTAGTGGCTGAATTCTTTATTGCAAATGCCTTACTTCAGACATTCAGCTGCTGCCTAGTTACTTTTGCACGGGTCCTCTCATACTTTTGCACAAGTCCTGCAGTGGAGATGTCATTTACGCCCATGCATAACTAAACCTGGCATCAGGTCACAAGTGATTTATTTGCATATACCCCCCCCCACACAAATGGAGGATAGCGCTGATATGTGGGTGTGGGCTTGGTCTATTCCGAGACTATCCTAATGATACTTCACATGTAATTTAACCTTTTCAAGCAATCAAGGTGGTTAGGGAGGGATGTAACCTGGTGACAGAGCACATGCTTTCCAAGGAAAAAAGTTCCAGGTTCAATCCCTAGTATCTTCAGACAGGACTGGGAAATATTCCTGTCTGAAACCCTGGAGAACCACTGAAAGTTTGTGCAAGCCCCACTGACAGGTGGGGAGCCTGTGGCATGGTGCTCCAGGTGTCGATGGACTCCAGCTCCCATCAGCCCTAGCCAGCAGAGTCTGATGGCCAGGGGTTGTGGGAATTGTAGTCCGGCGACATCCTTAATGTAGGAGATACTGAGCCAGGTGGAGTGACGGTCTGACTAGGTACAAGGCAGCATTCAGTGTTCCCAAAACACTTCATATACATTACCTCTTTGTCCTTGTTGCAACAGCTGGGTAGGATGTGTCAAGTACTGCTGCTGTTCCCATTTTGCAGATAGAAATCTGAAAGAGAGGCTTGCCTAACAAGTTCATGGTAGAGGCAAGATTCAAACCTAGGATATTCTGATTCCCAGCTCTTAAGTCTTTTACCCACCAAGCTACACCAACTACAAAAAGATTGGGCATCCTTTTTAGTTTCTAAATCTGATTTGCACACCTGTGCCCACTTAAATGCCCGACTCCCATCGCCTGCCCTAGCAATGCTGGGGAGCCCTCTTCAGCGCAAAAGTCGCATTTCCATCTGCGCCCCCTTCCATGGGCCACGTGCTTGTGGTGGGAGGGGCCAGAGCAAAGCAGGCGGAGCAATATATGCAGATTTTACTTTTGTTTGACAGGCTGGTTTCACACAGCTCTGATCTATCCTCCATCCAGGCAAGCAACAGGCATTAGCAGAGTTAACGGACATACTCCAGCCAGGCAAAAATGCTCAAGGAGGGTGTGACTGGGGAGAGTCTCAAGGGCCAAGCTGGGCCTAGGGTTTCCCCCCTTTGTTCTATTGCTGCTCTTAATGTCAGTCCATGTACTATCCTAGTGGCTGATATTCGCCTAGGCTGCAACAGTGAGCTTCCTCTGGTCCTGATTCTCCCCAGAAGTTGTGCCATGCCCCAGCATTTACATGGGCATTGGGGTGAATGTGCACAGGCCACAAGTCCACCTCTGAACAGAGAGGCCTGGAGCCTGTTTCAGTAGCTCTGGAAATTTCTTCTTCAGTTTGGGATCTCCCAATTCCCTGCACCCCTTCTTTGAAGAAAGATCAAAGAATCCAACAGCAGCCTGTTTTTTAAGATCTCCTGTCCCCGGGAAACCTGCTATCAAGTGTGCATTAACAGCCTACAGCTTGCTTGCTTGCTTGCTTGTTTTGTTTTAAAGATTGCAGAGGGGATGGATGGAGAGGTAGCAGCACAGTTCTTTTTCTTTTTTTAAAGTCCAGATTAATATAATTTTTTTACAAAGCTAATTGTAACTCACCCCTGCATCTCTGCTCTGTGTGTGTTTCTGCGGCAGCTTAGGGGTCCACAGCTAAACGGGAAAGTGCTCTCTCTGGAGAACTGCACCCTGGAAGTAGCTTACCTGAGTCTGCTGCACTGGGATGATCCATCTGCTCTGCTCTTCCTCCCTGATATGAGAGGTAAGCCACTTTTACCCAATCCTGCATATGCGATTGTTCTATCCTTAACTAATCTGGACAGTCAAGGCTGTGGGTCTAGTGCGCAGCTGCAATGCTGCTGCAAAAACATTTTAGCTGAATATCTGGCCTAGGATGCCACCACTTTTCAAGTTTTGATTTATTTAGGAAAAGTAAGCACAAAGCAAGTTTCTAGTCCCTGTGGCTATGGAATGATATCTTAGAACCCTTAGATCACACGAGACTTGCGGTTAGCCAAGAGTGGCAGTTCAGTGCAGTGCCCCTGTTGTAGCTCTATGCTTTTCTTTTGCAATACTTGGAAGGGTATACCACACCGTTCATTTAGGGTGTCATATAGGTTGCCATGCTGGGACAGATTTCCCATTGCTGCTGCAAGTCTCTGGTATCCCATGGCTTTTAAATTTGTGTGTACAGCTTTAAGGATTACCCTTGCGGTGATAAGAGCCCCTGATTTTAATTTAAGTTACCCAGATGGAACTTGTCCAAAATCTGGCCAGCTCAAGCCAGACTCCCCACTAGCTTGGATTCAGATCATGGGAGTTAGTGTCTGGAGGGCAGTTTGGGTTGGAAGCCCAGATGCCTCTCTTACCTTTGAGTAGCAGGGCCGTTATGGAGCCCTCTCTCCATAATCAGCTCTCTATAATCAGCATCTTTAAACTAGTGCTTCTTTTACATACAGAACCTCACTTTATAGGACTTTTCCTTGTCACAATGCTGGAACTGCAGAATTCCGTGCAAAAGAGCAAGGAGAGGGGACCAGCCACTGACTCTTCCTGTTGCTCCGTTTTTGGAGCAAGGCAGTGTTGTCCTGCTCTCATGCTGATCAGTAACAGGATACAGAAGTTCCCTCCCTCTCTCTCTCATGCTTTTTTGAACAGCATGTTCACAGGAGGGTTAGGAGGAGTAGAGGGGCCACTTATTGGGCCCCCTATGTCACACCTGCTTATCTGATGTTGGAGAGGGATACATGAGGCTTCTAGATCTCCCATCTTTTCCCCCTTTTTCTTTGGCGTTCCTGTGAGTTCCTAATTTTATGTGGAACTTTCCCCCTGGTTACACAGACTTTGAAGACTTCTATCTATCATTGCCCTCTCTCGTGTGACTTTTTCTGTGCACTTTACATAATGCATCATCGCGATGAGCTCCATCAGGTTCCTTCCTCCATCAACAATAACTTGGAGACATCTGCTCCACTGAGCTCCAGCTGTTGGAGAGAAAGGAAGCAGGGCACTCCATCCATCTGCTCTGCCGAGAGACCAGCAACTCATGGCTCCTCCTCCTCTCCTTGGAACTCTTTTCATTCTAGCTGGTCATTACAGGAGCTTCCTTACAACAACTTGTTCCTTATCTGCAAAACCCAAACAAAAACCCAGTGCGGAGGGGCCCTTTGTTACAAAACCGTGCCTGATTTTGCTTTTTTCCTCCTCCTCCCTCCCAGTCACTTTTCCTTTTGTGCTGTGTCATTTAGATTGTAAGCCTGAAGGCAGGGACTATATTGATGTTTGCGAGCTTCTCCTTGAGCCCTCTTTTGTTTTCCTGAAGAGGATGGTAAACCATGCTTTGGATAAAAAACTAATGCATTTATTTGGGTCTTTCAACTGCTGTTTGCTGTCTCTTCTGCATGCTAGAGGCTGTACTGGTGGTGGAGGGGTGAGCAGCAACAACAGGAGAGATCTGCTGCTTCCATGTCTGGCTTGTGAGCTACCTGGTTGGCAAATGCAGGAGACAGGAAGCTGGACTAGATGGGCCTTTGGCCTGATCCAGCAGGGCCCTTCTCATTTGCATCCTCTTCTCTTTACCAGGATACCAGCCTCTCAAAGAAGCACTGGATGCTGGGAAGAAGGTTCCTGGCGACTCGTTTTATGTGCGGGCCAACCTGAGCCTCCTGGAGCTTGCCGACCCTTATGCCTTGTGCGTGAAGCACCGGGAGATCCTTCACGTCACGGACACTTTGTACAAGGGGCGGCTGGAGTGGTACTGTGCCCGCGTGGATCCCTTCACCCTCCAGGACTTGGACAGTGGCACGGTACCTAACTACAGCAGGTAATGGGCCTCTGTCCCTTGGGTGTGATTTAATGCACAAGAACTTAAGTGGGCAGAGGGCTGCTTTGCATGCACAAGGGATGCTTCCAGTCTTTTGGGGTGGGATTCAGTCATACTGGCAAATTCAGGCTGTGCAGTTATAGCCGAATGAGAGAATCATGGAATTGTAGAGCTGGAAGGGACCACGGGGGTCATCTAGTCCAACCCCTTGCAATGTAGGAATCCTTTCGAACCTATGACCCTGACATTAAGAATCTCATGCTCTACTAAGTAAGTTATCCTTTAGGCAAGGGAGGCCTTATACAACCACCACATCCCCCCCCTTCCCTTGCCCCGCCCCAATCATACTTCTTGCAATGAGGAAAGAAACTGGAAAATGCAATGGAAAGTGTGGGGTAACACTTGAGGCAACATCCTCTAACTTCCCAGTAAGCAAACCGGAATGGATGCTCAGTAAACAGCCACCTGTCATCTAATCTCCCTGCGAACAAATTGGGATGTATGATCAGTAAGCGGGTTGTCTGGAAGCTACCAAGGTCAATGCCTAGTATCTCTAGTTAAAAATGGGGAAAAGGACAGTAGCAGCGGGTGATGCAGCCGAAATTTGCCCGAGACAGAATTTTAAAACTGGAGGGAGGGAGAGAAGGGTCAAGGGGTCACCTAGTGCAAACCTGTGCTTGAGTCTGGGAATCCATAGAATTCAAGCATTCCAAATGCTTGATGGCTGCCCAGCTTTTCCCCAAAGATCTTGAAAGACATACACTGGGTCCCAGTACATTTCTGAGCACAATTCAAAGTGTTGGTGTTGACCTTTAAAGCCCTAAATGGCCTTGGTCTTGTATACCTCCACCCCCATCGTTCTGCCCGGACGCTGAGGTCCAGAACCAAGTGCCTTCTGGTGGTTCCCTCATTGTGAGAAGTAAAGCTACAGGGAACCAGGCAGAGGGCCTTTTTGGTAGTGGCGCTCGCCCTGTGGAACGCCCTCCCATCAGATGTCGAAGAGATAAACAACTACCTGACATTTAGAAGACATCTGAAGGCAGCCCTGTTCAGGGAAGTTTTTAATGTGTGACATTTTAATGTATTTTTAATCTTTGTTGGAAGCCGCCCAGAGTGGCTGGAGAAAGCCAGCCAGATGGGCGGAGTACAAATGATAAATTATTATTATTATTATTATTATTATTATTATTATTAAGATTGGCAGTGAAGGAGGATCCCTCCACCCTGCTTTGGCCATTGGCTGCCTTCTAAGCTGCTCTTAAGAGCACAGGGAACTTATAAGGAGTCAGGCCCACTGGAACATCTGGCTGTGTCTACATTGGCTGGGAGCATCTCTCCAGGGCTTCAGGCAGCGGACATTTCCACCTCTACCGGGAGATAATGGGAAATGAACGTGGGGCCTTCAGCATTCAAAGCCCTGCACTACAACCCTTCCCATAACCATTCAAGACTTTTCTCCTGATTCTCAGTGGAAAACTCCCTCCCTGTAACTTAAGTACATTTAGATGCAGTCGTGCTCTTTGGGCAGCAGAACCCGGAAAACAGCTGCTGGGCATAACAGAGATCTAGAGAGCGACTAATACCAAGAGATGGCATCAGGCAGCTTCTTAAGATTCCCCTCTATTTTTTTGTAGTTGCAGCACTTGACTAGCACAAGGTACGGCGAGTTGTAACCCATAGATCTAAGCACCACTATGATATGTGGGTGCTGTAGGAGAAAGGTTTATAGGGGAACCCACAACTGGGAGGAGGGGAGGTTTTTAGTGAGTGCCTCCCCGCCCCCATTTAATTTCTTCTGGTAAGGCCCTCCTCCTTTGAGGAATCCTAACAGTTGCAAGAGCTTTGTGGAACATTCTGCCCCCTGAGAATTGCCCAAGTCTAGTCTGCAGGTTTTTAGCAGGATCTGCAAAAGCATCCTTGTTTAAACTGGGTTTTTAAAGGTATCTTGTAATATTTATGTAGCGTTATTGGATTAATTTTAGATGGACTCGGGTTTTGGAGAGCTAATTGAGTTTTATTTGTTGCCGTGCTTTTTATTGTGTTTCCATTGGATTTTTAGAGAAGGCTGAGTGGATGGCAGGCAGTGCTGGGTAAGGCAACAGAGGCAGAAATTTGGTGGGGGGCAGCCAGGTGGAGACGTGGCCACGCTGCTGTTGCAGAGGCTGCCTGGGAGCTGTAGGGAACTGGTGAATCAGTGGATTTGAGCTGGGATTTGGGAGACCGGGTCAAGTTGCCCCTCAGCTCTGGAATATCCATGTGGCCTTCCCTGGTTAGGATCTGTGCGCTGAGCTCACCTCCAGTATCATTAGAGATGAATGAGAAGAGAATTGTGTTAAAGCACTTGGAACAGAGTGGAAATAAGTAATGACCACACAGTCCTGTGGCATCTTAAAGGCTAACGGAATTTGCCATAATAAATGGTTCTTGCTGCAAAAGACTTAACACGGCTGCCCCTCTGGAAGTAATGATGTGTATATAAAAGTTCAGGCTGCAACCTTTAATAATTTAAATTAATTGGTTAGGGCCATTTTAATAGACTAAAAAAAAGCATCTCTGGTTTGATTGGGTGGTAAGTTTTTATTTTTTTTAAAGTTAAATGTGAGTTTACCCTAAATACTTGCAAAAACTGAAGGTGGCAGGTATATCTTAGAAGTGGCACCCCCCCATCACTTTCTTCACAGATGGCCCTTGCTGAAGCATGCACTTCCATCACCATGTCTCCCCTCACTTACATAAGCTATTGTTGTAATTGTATGCACATTTATGCACATTTGATTTATTTTTAAAATCCATTTGATTAATTGACTTTCCTTAATGAAAGCCCAGTTGCACCTCCCTCTTTCCAGTGTTGAATTCTACACTGAATTCCCCATCACTTTCCAAATCGCATTAAGTCTGGCTTTTGTTTTTGTTAAACTGGATTTGTTCTGCTAGGCCGATAGAGTCCCTTAATCCACTTTAGTTGCACAGACCTAAAGTTCTGATGTGCGCTTGAATCCTGCAAAACGCTGTTTGGAAGCACTGACAGTGTACCTCTGTGTTTCCATGCCTTGCTAAGCAAAACAGGAGCTGAGGCTCACCATCCTGCCTGTTTGTGAGGATGAGAGATATCTCAATATGCCTTCTTCACTCAAAAGGGCGTTGGGAATGATCAATTCCTGTGCCTCTTGAGAGCAGTTGGCCACACGGTTCTGCTTCTCTCTCTCTCTCTCTCTCTCTCTCTCTCTCTCTGTGTGTGTGTGTGTGCCTCCCTCCCAGCAAGCTGGTTTTCAATTGCTGTCATCTTTCAGGGCTCATCAGCTCTTGAAGATACAGGAGAAAAGTCAAGTGGCAGCCCAGCAAAAAGGCTGCAAGACTAAGGTAAGCTGGAGGTGAGAGAACAGGGGGAATGTGTGGGTTGGGAAGAAAGGACTGGTGGTGGTATTATTATTGTTAATCATAAAAGTTCTTTAATTCCACTCTTGGAGAGCCCCCCTCTCCAAAAGCCTTCCAGAACAGCTTGCACTTAGTAAGGGAGTCCCTATCCTCAGGGTTGCAATCCAAAAGGAAAAGGGATTGAGAAGGGAGCAGAGGGGAAAAAGCAGATAGAATGGTTGCTGCTCATTGGTGATTTTGGTATAACTCCTTGGCTGTTATGCCAAAACTGTTGAGAGAGGAGGCTCACATTTGTAAGCTGTGCACAAGAGGAATTGTCTAGACTCAATCCTGGAACCTGCAAATCAGTCAATCAATCAGTAACTGCCCTTCAACTGAAGATCACTTTTACAGTATAAAAACACAAAATGATATGGTGCAGCCCGTGTCATGCAGCAGATAGAATGAAGGACTTGGACCACAGAGACCCGAGTTCAAATCCCCACTCAACTACAAAACACAATGGGCAACCCAGGCCAGTCAGTCTCTCTCCAGGCTAGCCTACTAAACATTCGTCCCTGGGATGAAGGGCTGAATATGAATCTTTGCTAATAGTAATAAGAAGGTTCTTTCCTGCAACGTGTGACGTACCGTCAAGGAGGGAGTGCTTTTGAACATGCAGGAAGTACTTTTATCTCAGCTGTGGAGTGATCAAGTCGCACCCATCTGGAATTGTCATGAAAAGTCTAGCGGTCATAAGCCACCACGAGTGGCTGAAGATGCAGGATTGTGATGTTTTAGACCAATTTATAGGCAGAAGGGTTCTGCATTTTAGGAAATCATTGCAGCTCTTGACTTAGGGAGGCTCACCATGACAAAATCCAGGGGTGCGGTGGGGAAGGGAAGATGGAGAGAGAAAACCCCATCCTGGTCTAAGCCTTTCCCCTTGTCCACAGGCTGCAAAGCTTGGAGCAGTCCTCGGGTCCTACTTCCTGGCCTCAGTGTCTGGTTTCTTGGATCGGGTGTGTGAGTGGGTAGCTGGTTTCTTGCGGCCTTTCTCTCTCCGACACACAGCCTAGGCGAAAAGTGCTACACTTCCCTGTGTGGTAGCCGTTGTCTCTGCTGGTGCAGCGTTTTCTTAGGGACAGCCTTCCCTTATGGGAGATGCAGAGAAATGCCTTGCATTGTTATCTTGAGCCGTTTTCTCGAAGGACCGGAGCTTGCGAGAGAGGAAGGCTCTTAATTGCTGCTATGCCCTGCCTCACTCGGGGAGTTGTATCTCAAGGCACAGCCTATTTAACTTCCAATAATAAACATGTAGCTGTCATTTTGCAAGCGCCTGAGTGATGCATGCTTTGTTCTGTCTGTCTCCTTCCCCCTCCTCCCCTTCCCTCCCTTTCTCTTTGTTCTTTCCAGCTGAAGAAACGGGCCCTGGACCAGCTTCGCCTGGTGAAACATAAGCAGCAAGGGGGGCAGAGTGAGGAGGCCCCTTGGCAAGAGCTTTGCCCAGGTGAATTTGCAAACCTCTGCTCCCAACAGAAAAGAGTTGCTCTTGAGTTAATGTCAGATAAGTAGCTCCCACGAATGGTCTACCTACTGTGGTGTGCGGGCTCTCTATACAGGGACAGTGTCTCTCTCTCTCTCTCTCTCTCTCTCTCTCTCTCTCTGTCTGTGTGTGTGTGTTTTGCATATTCATGAGGATTTGTTTGATTTATTCAATATGCAAAACACAACCCAAAGATCACAGGGTGGCTCACAACATAAAAATACGAAGTAAGAACCCAAAATAGAAAGGAGAACAAAAGCAAACCAGTAACGCCCCCCTCCCCACAAACAAATTTTTAAAAGACATAGAATGTTAATCAGCCAAAGGCCTGGTTGTAGAGAAAATTTTTCACTTGGTGCCTAAGCTATGTAATGAAGGCGCCAGGCGAGCCTCTCTTGGAAGGGCATTCCACAATGGGTGGTGGGGGCTGCAGAAAAGGCCCCTGTGAACCTCTTGTGAAGGAGGCGCATGAAGAAGGGCCTCAGATTAATATCACAGGGTCTGGATTAGTTCATATGGGGAGAGGCAGTTGTTGAGGTATTGCTGTCCTGCGCTGCTTAAGGCTTTAGAGGTCAAAACCAGCACTTTGAACTGGGCCCAGAAACTAATCCAGCCAGGCCAGGATTGGCGTTATATGCTCTGACTGTCTGGCCCCGGTGAATTTATTTATTCATTCACTAATTTGTGGATACTCCACCCTTTAATTATGCAATCGGGGTGGCTTTCAATAAAATGAACGGGGGGAACCCACATTAAAATAGCTAGTACTTAAAAATAAAGAATAACAGCTAATCTAGAAAATCATAAAAATGGGCCAGGATTAAATAGAATTTTTTTTTTTAAAAAAGCTTTTAGTTAGGCACTGATGAGGCATTTGAGTGGCTTCCAGGTGAGCCTTTCTCTTGGGAGAACGCTCCATTGCCACAGTGCCACCACTGAAAAGGCCCTTCCTTTGTTAACCACATGTTGATCTTGGAGAAAGCACTCTGATGATAACCTTAGAGTTGGATTATGCCGGCATTGTGTGCCTGCCAAAGAAGTGGGAAGCATGGGAATCTCATTCCGTCCCTCTCGTTTTCCCCAAGATAACTACAGAGCGGGGGTGGGGGCCCCTTTCAACCCAAGGACCCCATTCCTTCAAGGGCAACCTTCCGAGGGTCAGGAGTAGATGTCAAAGCGGGCAGAACAATGGATGTGATTCTTGCCTTTGTTGATTAGGTTAATCACAGCCTGGCAAAAGCATTTGAGGAGGGTATGGCCTGTGGGAGGGGTATGTGGCCTGGCACAGTCTCATTGAGGGCCAAATGGAGAGCTGCATGTGGCCCCCAGGACTGAGGTTCCCTACCTTGCAGTAAATCATAGATGATGGTGATAGGCACTTGCTCTTGCCTGAATAAAGCTTGTGCTTTATTCACTGGTCTTATTTGCTAGTCTTTATGGTCGGCTGGACCTAATGGTCAGGGGTCCCTTTACCTTTACCTTATGGTAGGGCGGTAGGGATGGGGAAGCTGTGGCCCTCCTGGTTGCTATTGGACTCAAATTTCCATCAGCCTCGACCAGCATGGCCAGTGCTCAGGAATTATGGGAGCTGCAGTCCAGCAGCACCTGGAGAGCAACAGGTTTTCAATCCCTGCTTCGTGTTGGGTCACAGGACTCCTTGTTCCGCTTGGAAAATAAATAAGCAGGCCCTCTCCAGCCAGAACAGGGCTGAGCAGAGCTTGCAGGGGTCAGGGAATGGGGACCTCAAAGGTCCACGCAGCTCTCAACCATCACCATATTAAAGACATATAAGGAATCACTGAAGCCAGCAAGCCTGCCCTCGCTTCTCTTGCTCACTGACCCTGCCTTTTTATTTGCAGATGGAACTGAAAAGCCCTACAGCCCAGTATGTCCTCTCATGGTTCAGACCCGTCGTCCTGTCATGCTCTCACCTGCATGCTTAGCACCCCATCTCATTAAGAACCTTCTGGCTCTCCCTTCCTCCCATCAGGACTTTTGCTTGTGCCCATCTGGTAAGCAGGAGAGGCTGAGTGATTTGACAATGGGCTGGTGGTGAAGCCGGAAACACCAAGTGGGTCTACGTCCTTTATCCTAGCTCTGGACTTGCACCTTGAGACCATGCTAGGAAATGAGTCTCTAGTTTAATAATCTTTACTCCTACAGGAGTAAGCATTGAAAGTCTCCTTTTCATGCCTCTAGCTCAGAGTTGGGGTGATCCAGGCCTTGCAGAGGTTGCAACTCCCCATCATCTGTAACTGTTGGTCCTACTGGCTGGGGTTGATGGGAGATGTAGCCCAACCACACCTGAAGGACCACAGGTTCTGCACCCTTGCTTTGAGCAAGGATCTTCCTTCTGTATCTTGAAGTGGGGGGTGACTTTTGACAAGACTTTCTGCCTTTTGCCCTTCCCTACCTGAGCCCCACAAATGCGGGTTCCACACTTTGGGTGCAGGAAACAGAACTCTAAGGATCTCTATTCATGGAAAGCAGAGATGGGAGACCTATGGCCTTCCTGATATTGTTGGACTCCAACTCCCATCGGCCCCAGCCAACGTAGCCAATGGCCAGGGATGATGGGAGTTGGAGTCCAACAATATCTAGAAGGCCACAGGTTCCCCCACCCATGATGTAAAGAAGAAAACCTGCCACTGACCCATGTTCATGGCCCATAGTGTTGCTGCAAAGAAGGTTTGCTGATACGAAATTAATGCCTCCTAATGCAGTGAAATGTGGGACCTTGAGATTGTGCTATGATTCTTGTACCGTGTGGTGTGGAAAATGAAAGGACACGAAGTTCTTCTGCATCGAGGGCCAATAGATGGATCTTGAAAAAAATCCATTGGTCGATCCCCTTAACAAAACTACTGGGAACTACAGTGCTAAGGTCATAAAAACAAAAGACGTTGCTTCTGTTTTCCTTCCCTTGCAAAAGAAAAAAAATAGGGCAATTTTTTGGGGAAAAGTTCTGCATTGCAACTTGCATGATTTACAGCGCCATCCAATGCATGTTTATTCAGAAATATCTCCCAGTGTGTTCAGTGGGTTTGACTCGCAGGTTAGCCTTAGGATGCCATTCCCTGCACTCTTAACTGAAACTGGGACTTAATTTTGATTAAAGAGAATTTCAGATTGAAATTCTGGGGTCCGCAACCATTCTCAGCTGTGGGCCGGTCCAGCGTCCCTCAGACCATGTGGTGGGCCAGACTATATTTTGGCGAAAAAAATGAACGAATTCCTATGCCCCACAAATAACCCAGAGATGCATTTTAAATAAAAGGACACATTCTACTCATGTAAAACATGCAGTTTCCCAGACCGTCCGTGGGCTGGATTGAGAAGGTGATTGGGCCGTATCTGGCCCATGGGCCTTAGGTTGCCTACCCCTGACCTAGGCTTTGAAAGCAACCCCCCCCCCAATGATAACTCATGCTTATTGTAACATCTCCTCCACGACTTGTCCTTTTGTGGTTTTTGCTCCCTGCAATCACAGATGCCCCTCCTGACCAAAGACTCTCCTCTGCCTCCTCCAAGAATATTCTTATCGCTGATGGGATCTCTGAAAGCCAGAGGAACTGCGGGAAGATGCACACCATCAAGGAGGCTATTGGAAAGGTGAGGACTAGAGCACTGCAATTTCAGGGCTGAGAGGCAGGGCGAGATGAACAGTTATGCTAAACCGCCTTATGGAAAAACTCGAGACAAATTAGATTCCCCTTTTATTGTAACACTACCCAGGCAACTCTTTGTGGCGAGAGCTTCTACACTGCTATTCCCAATTACTCTCAGAGCAGGGAGTGTACTAGCGGCCATCTGGAGCTGTGGGAAATTTAATGGCTACACTTTGGCCCTGCTTCCAGGGAAGGGGAATCCAAATTATCTTCCTCTGCCTCAAACCAGTCCCAACAAGCTGTCTCCACAACTTCCTATGTAAGCTCCATGACTGCCATTTTGTGTAATATCTGTACACATCCCATTTGTCCTTCTCCAGAGAAGAGGGTCTTCTGAGTGCAGATCTGCAAGCTGGTGGGCTCTGCAGGTCTGTGGGGCGATGCTCTCCTTGACTAGCATGGGAGACCGAGTGTCCCTGAAGGTGAGTGTCGAGATCTCCTCCCACCCAGACGTATCGGACACCCAGCGTGCTGTATATCAACTGACCCTGCCCTTCAATTCTCTCTTTTCCTCACTGGTTTGGTTGTAAATCCCATCCTTTAATGGAATTACTATTGGAAAAGCAATGATATTTCACAGTGTAGGGTTTGATTTAATGTAACTTGTCAGGGACGGGTTATTTCTTTTCCATTTAAATCAGTAAATCTGTTGGATTTCCTTGCAGAACAAACACTGCCTGCTGGAGCTGGAGGTCCAGGTGGCGAGGGAACTAATTAAAAGTGAAATATACCCCATCGTTATCCATGTCGAGGTCACAGAGAAGAACGTCAGGGGAGTCAGGTATGAAAAGCCCTTCTCAAGATTGACACGGGTTGCAATGCAGATGGGAAGAGCTGGCTTCAGATGGTATAGGCAGTCCGGCGCCCCCTGCTCTGCCATGGCACAGCTCCAGATGAGAGCCCTTCTTCCTCTAGCTGAGCCTGCCGGAAGAAGCGCCAACCTTTCCATTGTGCCTAGACCCAGCTCCGTGCCCTACTGAATTACCACCTGGAGAAGGGCAATAGCTCAGTGGAGGAGCATCTTCTTTGCGTGTAGCATGTCCCAGGTTCACCCTCTAGCACCTGCTACTAGGAGAGACACTGTCTGAAATCTGTGTTGCATGCACAGTCTCCCAGGTTCAGTCGTTGGCATTTCCAAGTGGGGCTGTGAGATAGCCCTGTCTGAAATCCTGGGAAGCTGCTGCCAGTCAGTGTGGACCGAGCTAAATGGACAAATGGCCTGGTCCAGCTCACTCAGTAGAGGATGAGGCTCTGAATCTCAGGGTCATGTGTTTGAGTCTCACGTTGGGCAAAAGTTTCCTGCATCGCAGGGGATTGGACTAGATGGCACTTGTGGTCTCTTCCAACTCTACAATTTTATGATTCTATGAATATAAGGCAGCGGACTTAGGGAAATGTTCACTGATACCAAGATGAGGGATTCTATGGAATGCAGATAGAGAGAATTGATAAGAATAATGATCTGTTGTGATCTTGAGGGAAGCATACAATAGATGAGCCTTCTTGTGTTTTGGCTCATCTCCCCCCCCCTTTTTAATTTTTTTTATTTTATTTTTTTCCTCCTCCTCCTCCTCCTCCTTTCCTTTCCCTTTCCCTTTTTTCTTTTTTCTTTCCCTTAATGGCTTATGTTCTATGCCATATACTTTGATATTTTTTGTAGTTTTTAAAGCTTTTTTCATTATTATTATTAAGGATTTTTCATAATAAATTTTCTTCAATTTTGATTGTTTATATTTATCTGTATATGTTTAAAGCAAAATAAAAGTATTAATAAAAAATAAGGCAGCGGACTGGGGCATTGAACCGTCTAAGGAGGTGTAGCAAGCTATGCTTGTTGAAATTTCCTCTTCTGCGCTGCAATCAAAGCTGCAGGAGCCATGTCCTCTGTCTTGCTTTGGCAGCTGACCACCCTAGAACACAGGTGTCTCGCAGTGAGAAGATGAGTAGAACAGCTGACAAGTTTCCCTGAAAGACAATTTTCCCCATCTTTGTTGGTCCTCTCCCAAACTCCGTAGCCTCAAGGAAGTGTTTTTAGGGAACTATTCTCATTCTGTGCAAGAGGACAGTAAGACCCAATAGGCTGAGCCAATATTCTGAATCAAGTGACTCAGGGGACCATAGAATTGCAGAGTTGGAAGGGACCATCTAGTTCAACCCCCTACAATGCAGGAATCTCAACGGAAGCATCCACGACAGGTGGCCATCCAACCTCTGGTTAAAAACCTGCACCTTCATTGCTTCAATTTTTTCCTGCAACTCCTTCACAAGCAGTGCTGATGCAAAAAGCTTTGAAAAACCACCACATTAGAAGCCATATAGCTAGTTGCACCCATCTCGGTTTTCTCTATATGGATTGGCAGTGGCTCTTTCCAGTGTCGGACATGCAGTTTTTCCTGGCCTTGGGTGGCGATTGAACCCAGGGACCCTCTGCACATGAAACGAGTGCCCTACCACTGAACTGCGCCCCATCCCCAGATACACTATGGACCATAAGGTTTCACCGGTTGCCCAAACTCTCCTTTGGGCGGTTACAGTGTCTGCTGAATTTTTTAAAGCTCCTTCTGCAAAAATCCTGAATGTTTTGCTTCAGATGGGAACGCACGTGGACTGTGATTTGTGACATCGTCCTGGTGCAGGGGGTGGAGGAAGCTCCCAACTGGAGCGTTTGCTTGGCGGTCCATCAGTTCTTGGGATCAGACCATTAGACTTCAACATGCTTAAGCTAACATGCTTGACTTAACCCATCTCGGCGAATGCATTATTCATAGCATCTCGAGGAGTCTACTGATGGCATGTTTCTCTGCTGTGCTCTTCCCTCCTAGGAGCTGGCTGGGGAAGCCGGGGCTTCGCGACTCGGAGGTGCTGAAGCAGTGCCGGAAGGCCAAGTGGACTCTGCACACTTTGCCGTGCTTGGGGGCCTGGGTGGATCCTCACGCCTGGGGCAGTGCGGAGGAGCTGGTGAAGGTGGTGCGGGCCCACGTCTTCCAGGAGCAGACCAGGATTGTGTGGGTCGAGGAGAGGGATTTGTGATGGGTGTCTGGAGGTGTCTGCAAGCAGAAAAGCCTCTGCAGGACAGAGGCTTCGATCCACGACCCGCTGATGATGTTCTGGATCTTTGATTCACTCCAGATATCCTACAGACATAGCCCATTTCCTTTGTGGTCCAGTCGTTCCCTCAGTTAGCCCGAGAACGGGAAAAATGTGCCTCTGCATTTCACTGCCTCCAGTATCGACTCCACTCTCCCAGGCCCTTCCTCGTTTCCTGCGTTCTCTGTGGCTGTTGTCTCTACCTCTTTTCACATCCTGATGGAAGTATGTGTGTGCATTGGGGGGAGATGGGGTGCCCTCATATGCACGCACATGGACATAGAGTGTCCCCTCAGCCAGAGGGACTGTGAGCGAGCAGGAGAGACACCCTCTGCGCCTGCTGCTTTATTGTGCCTAAATTATTGATGGACCCTTTTTATTGAAGAGCGGAATATGGAAAGAGAATTAAACAGCATTAACAATGGAAATGAACGACTGGCTGCTTCTTGAGTTCGCTGGGAAGGAAGCACATTTCCAACTTGTTCCTAGTTGCCTGCCTCTGTCTCCACTCCTTCCTTTTTGCCTAGTAATAATAATTTATTATTTATACCCCATCCATCTGGCTGGGTTTCCCCTGTCACTCTAGGCAGCTCCCAACAGAATATTAAAAACACAGTAAAACAGCAAACATTAAAAACTTCCCTAAACAGGGCTGCCTTCAGGTGTCTTCTAAAAGTCAGATAGTTGTTTATTTCCTTGACATCTGATGGGAGAGCGCCACTGCCGAGAAGGCCCTCTGCCTGGTTCCCTGTAGCTTTGCTTCTCGCAATGAGGGAACCGCCAGAAGGCCCTTGGCTCTGGACCTCAGTGTCCGGGCAGAACAATGGGGGTGGAGACGCTCCTTCAGGTATACTGGGCTGAGGCCGTTTAGGGCTTTAAAGGTCAGCACCAACACTTTGAATTGTGCTTGGAATTGTGCACAATTCTTGAATTGTGTCGCTCTGCAGTTCAACTGCTGCCTCTTGTGTGGCTAAAGGCACAAACTGTGTAAGTAGGAATCTGCCTTATACCAAGTCGGACTTGCAGTGTTGTCTGCACTGACTGGTGGTGATTCTACAGAGTTTCAGGCAGGGGTCACTTCCAGCCTTACCTGGAGAAGCTGAAGATTGAAGCTGGGATCTTCTGCTTGCAGAGCAGATAATTTACCAGTGACGCATGGCCCCTTCTAGGGAAAGAGTGGCTGTCGCTTCTGTTCCTGGGCAACTTCCTGCTCCTCTTTGATTCCTTCCCCCTCACTCCTCAGGAACAGCTGTAGTGCTTTGTCAGAAACAAGAGGTTGGGTCCACAAGGGCCTCCAGAAAGTCAGCTGTTGCACTTACTCAACAGAGGCTGTCTTCACTTAAATTTCATGAGCTGGGGTTGCCAACAGGGTGCCCTCCATCACCCCATAGCTCCCATCACCCCTGACCATTGGCTGTTCTGCCCTGGACTGATGGGGAGCTGGAGTCCAGTAACACCACGTCGGCTGCCCCTTGATGTAGGATGACTTGCTAAGATCACTCGGCCTTGAACTCTTCCATCTTATCTTTTCCCCATGGACATGGGGGCCAAGAATGGGGTGGAGCGGAAGAGGATGAAGCACAGTAAATGAAATGCACGGAGGGGGGAGAGTGAAGAGCTACCATGCAGAAGTCAGCCCTGCTTTCACTTTTCACTCAGCTCACAGCATTCCAAGCTGCTTTCGTCACCTCCTGGCTTACTTCCCTTGTAAGCGCCTCCTCTCAGCCTCGAGACACAGAAGGTTAACCCTTCACTATACCCAGCAAGCCCCAGCTGGCTTTTGGTACATAACAGAGCTCTTGGCTTACCTTCTGAGTTGTGTTCTGGGAAGGATATGACTTAGAGAGAGAGAGAGTTGGTCTGCTCCCAGAGCTTGTCTTCTGTTGCTTCTAGGGGCCCACTGACATGTGCAAGATGCCACAAAAGTCTGGCAAGTGTTCGTAAAGGAGGGTTGTGGAAAGCTTGTATAGAGCAGCTCCTTAGGCTCTTTCTGAGTCAAGCCATTGGCCCTTTTAGCTCAATGCTGTCTATACACTGGCTGGCAGTGGCTCTCCAATATGGTCTCTCCAAGCTTTACCAGCACCTTGTTCCTGGCTTGAAGAAACTCAGACATTTTTTTGGCATCCGTATTTCACTGTAGGAATCACACCCCACACTGTTTCTCTTCCCTGTGTTTGTTTCGGAACCTGTTTCTGACGCCCACAATTTCTTCTGGGGCCCACTTGCGGTGGCTACTTCTGCATTTGTACTTTACCAGTTCCTTTCACGCCAGCGGCCTGGTTCCCTGTGTGGGCAGAGCTGGGTTAAAGAAGTCTTGGGTAAATATTAACCCTGCAAGTTAATTTGGCCTGCCGCAGAGCAAGGGCATGTTAGCAGAGGAATGCCATTTGCCTCCTCAGGCAGCTATTAGAAGGGTAGTAAATACCTTGTAGAAGTCGTGTAAAGAGTCATTTAATGCAGCTGCATTTGGGAAGGTGCAAATGGGGGGGGGTTGTTCTGTAAAGCCATAAAACTAAAGGAGGAGGTTATTTCTCATGAACATCAACAAAAACACCACCAAAAGATGAAAAACGGCAGCAAGGATAAGATAAGCATTAACATAACACAGTCCTATGCATGACTTGTTGTAAGGCATCTTTTAATATTCCTAATCATAATTCATCTCAGTTGTGGCCTTATAGGCCATTGCAGTTTCTCTGAATTCTCGATTTAGAATCGAACCCAAAGATATGGGTGTTCTGAGAACAGGGATTAGATTTATGTTTGGACTGCGGACTGTGACTTTCTAACACTCTTGTACAGATGGGCTTTTCAGGCTTATAGCCAGTCTGGTTTCATAGGTTCAAGAACCCCAATATATTGGGATACAAATTGCTGGATAGGAAGGGGGAAAATGTTGCTTGCCGGCTGCTAGTGTTGGACACATCTGACCTTGGCTGTTCTGGATTCCCTCTTTTTCAACGCCTTGGTTGGCAGATTGAGAACAGCACTTATTTTTTATTTTGTTCATTTGTTTAAAATATAAATATCCCTCTTTTTTTTAATTAGGTGGCTAAGAAATAGTACAAATAAAAGCGTCGGTAAAAACATCTCAGCGTTGAGTAAAAATGCAGGCTGGATAAGGAACAAATGAACCTACTGGATTATAAAACAAATCCTTTAAAAGCCCAGTCGAAAAGGAACATCTTTTAAAAGTCGGCAGGATTGGACTGTGGGAAAGCTAGTTCCGGAATGTCAGGGATATAGAAGAAAGGATATTGCTTTTTTCCAGCTGTGCTTAGCACCTGTAGCAAAGGGCCTTTATGTGTGTCCTCTTCCACAGCTGTTGAAGTGTAGGGAGGCTCCTGTAGTGCCCATGTATTACAGAGCCTTTTCAAGTCAAAAGCCAACATGTTGAATTTTACCTGGATGTTAATAGGTAACTTGAGCAACTGATCAGGCTGAACACGCTCACATGTGTCATTCACCTTGTGAGGAGTCGGGCTCGGATATGCTGCACAAATTGGCCCTGCCAAACAGCCTCCCAGGGTTGCTCCACGAAAAGTGCCTCCTGGCAGCCCATCCTTAAAGACACAGAAACATGAATGATGGTAGCCAGAGCCTTAGTGGGCGGGTTGGAAGGATATTAACTGAAGCAGTAAGAGAGAGGAGGCCAGATGATTTTGTGCTGGGAGAGTAATATAATAATAATTTATTAAGCACCTAAACAACTAGGTGCTGTACAATCAATGAAGAACAATAAAACAAATGGCTCTGCCAAAAGGCTTAGTGTCTGTAAATCAAATGCGGAGCAGACATGGTAAATTATCATCGGAGTAACACTGATAGCAGACTTGAGCAGGCTGCTGGCCTCAGGCCAGTCTCAAAGCAGCATAACAGCTGCAAATTCCACTGGAGGCAGCAGGGACATCCCACCATTTTGTCTGGGTCCAAATCTTAGGAGGGTTGAGGGCTACCATGTATGGTTCTCTACATCACTCTGGGAGTCTCCTGTTACTCTGGGTGCTCCAGGTATCTGTTGATGTTTCTCTTTAGCTGCTTTGGGTCAGAAAACGGCATGCGAAGCGAATGAGGGGACAAATCGACTCCCCTGCGAGGAAAGGTTGCGGCATTCAAGACAATTTAGTTAGCAGAAAAGGAAGTAAGAGGTGGCACGATAAAATTACACATGGCATGGAGAAATCAGTAGAGGAACATTTTCCTCTCCTTTTAAATTTTTTATTAATTTATTTGGTTTTTCAAATTACAATTTTACAGAGATATATCAAACATAAATCATAAAAACAAGATTCCAAGGAATCTCCTGGATTTCCATTCTCTGATATTAAACATTTCCTCCTGCATCTTTTATGATGATCCAAATCTTTTACATCTCCATTGTGTCCAGAATTCACCCTTAAACTACAAGTGATATTCCAATCCTACTAACGATTTTAACTGTCTTTAAGATAAGTTACAAATTACCCCCATTCCTTATTAAAATTTTGGTCTAAATGATTTCTGACTCTTCCAGTTATTTTACCCATTTCAGCATTGTCCATCAACTTCATTCTTCTGTGGTAGGTACTGTATCTTCTTTCCATCTCTGGGCCAATAACATCTGTGCAGTCATCAGCAGCCTTTGGGAACATTACTAGCAGGGTTATCTGAAGATTTGTAAGATGAAATTACTACCTATTCAGGATGAGTAATGTAATAACTTAGGTAATGATATAACCAGAATAGGAAAGGAAGTGAAATGCAAAGATGCAAAATTTAAGTTTGTAAACCATTAGGTGGGAGGGAGGGAAGTCAGGCTCATTTGAGCCAAAGAGATTTAATAAGAGGATATGATGCTATGCAATGTAATTATATGTAAAACTAATAAAAATTATTATTAAAAAAATAACATCTGTGCAGCCATGGTATGCGGCCAAGGCAAATTTTCCTCTCATATAACGCTAGAACCTGTGGACATCCCATCCAATGAAGTTGATTGTTAAGAGGATTCAGGAAAATGCTTCTTCACACATTGCATAGTCAGACTATGGAACTCACTGCCACAGGAGGCAGTGACGCTACCAACTTGGATGGCTTGAAAAGAGGACTGGACAGATTCTTGGAGAAGGCTATCAATGGGTACTAGCCATGATGGCTGTGCTCTGCTTCCACAGATGGAGGGAGCATAGCTGTCAACTTACAGATTTGAAAATAAGGGACTAGCAGCCTCAAAAATAAGGGATCAGTAGCCAAAATAAGGGATTTTAGTCAACCAACAGCCAAACGAAGCCTCAAGTGGTGGTTCCCATAGCGCAGCAACCCGGCAAAGGGGATGCAGCAAGGAAAACCACCTTCACCTCTCCGCTGGGAAGCACTGAGCAAAGGCGAGTCCCCAGGCAACGCGGCCGATTTGATCGGCACAAGGCATGCAAACTCCACCCCCCAGTCGTTCTTAGACTCCTTATTGGGTGAGCAATGCAGCCAAGCAACACAGTTGGAGCCTCCTTCCTCCCTGGCTGGCAGGCAGGGAGGGAGAGGAGCTGCATCCTTTGAAACCCGGGAAATTTAAGGGACATCATCAATAAGGGACAGCAGCGGGACATGGCGCTAGAATAAGGGACTGTCCCGCCAAATAAGGGACGATTGACCGCTATGGGAGGGAGTAATGCTTTTGAGTACCAGTTGCCGACAACCGCAGGAGGGGAGAGTGCTGTTGTGTTTGAGCCCTGCTTGTGGGTTTCCCACAGGCGTCTGGTTGGCCGCTTTGAGAACATCGGTTCTTCCTATGCTCTCATGTCAGTGGAACACCTCCAAGGATTTGTTTCTCTGGGGTTGCCAGTTTGACCCATGTAGAGTGCTGGAGCTTTGCAAATGTGAAGTTTATCAGGCCACGGCGGTTCCAACGAGTGCCTATCACCTTTGCATCTCGGGGCCTAAGGCATGTTGTTCCCAATAAGTCAGTGAAAGAACATGCTGATGTTCAAAGGGAATCTAAAAATAATATATACATTTATATATTAAAATACCAGGGGAGCACCAAAGAAATGGAAAGCTGCCTGGAGTTCTTTGAAAAATCTGTGGCAGATAGAATACCGTGCCTTTCGGAAGAGGTAAGTGCTCAGCTATGGCTAAAACGAAGCGGTTCAAGTATTATTTCACTATACATTTTAGTTATTAATTTTATATCCCATTCATCATCCCAAAGGAGCCCAGGACATCTGTGATAATGCAATGCAATTACAAATCTTGTTTAAAAAACATTTTAAAACAATTGAAATGTCTGAAAACACATAACTCTCACAGCCAGTAATTTCAAGGTTGCCAAGAACAGGGTTTTTCAGCTATCAAATGCCTGGGTCAACAGAAATGTCTTAAATGCTTCCTAGAAGTTAATAATGGGGGCATTCCAGAAATGGTGATCTGCCACTGAGAAGGTCCTGCCATGGGTCAAATGGGCTGTATCCTGCAACAGCACCACCAACAGGGCCTCCTATGCTGATTATGGGATACTCTGCTGGGACAATTATGGACTTTGGATTTTGGGGGGGCGGGTTGGAAATAGGAGCCGTGCAGTGTATAATCTTTGAACAACAGCAACAAAAGAGAAAATAAAATCCCATTGGAGAAAAAGTTAAACTCTGTGTCAGGAATATGATCTGGAGTGAGCCTGGGACTAGGAGTCAGGACCAAACAGAAATCAAGATCAAAGAGCCAACCAGGACCAACAAGACTGGGTTTGCCA